TGAGAATAGGTAATTTGAATAAACATTGTCATATTAATCAAACAATGCAACTTTTGTTTGTTAAACAAATACTGGTAAGAATAATAACTGGAATATAAATGAGATTTTTTTGCAGAAGTTATATATATATATATATATATATATATATATATATATATATATATATATATATTTTCAGCCATTATCATTTTCTTAAAAGTCTGCAGGAATATGCATTATATTATTACGGCAAAATACTGCAAAAAAATCAATCTTTTTTTTTTTTATCAATTTTTAGAATTTTTTTAAATATTGTTTTTTATAACAATGAGAATATCAAATAACCATACAGAACAATAACAAAGGTCTACAAAAATTATTTTGAAATCGTGCATTGGATATTTTGAACAATTTTTTGGATGCTGAATTCAATAACAGCCATTTTCACCATTAGCTTTCAGCTAGGTCACTGTAAATGTTAAGAAAAAATAAATGCTCATTCAATCTTAGTGTGAAATAAAACAAGAAATATAACACAATAGTGATTACAATTAGAATATTGAGAGCACAATATTCATGGCAAGAACTTTCAATTATTTGATCTTTGTGAATGCTTAGTAGACTGGTCCATTTTAAGTTCCAGTAGTCAGCCACCATCCATTTGTCCTATTTTCCTTGATATCAATCTTTCCTATCAGATCTTTCAGCTTGCTTATCACCGAAATTAAATTATATCATTGACAGACTCAAGTTTCTATCCCAAATGTTTGATGCAGATTATGTAAAGTGATTATATCCAAGGACTTTATAATGATTCCATTCAGAATTTAGAACAATACAATTACAATGACATTATCATGTGTTGCCATAATATAAAAAAACAGGTTTTTGAGCAATCAGAAATTCAATAATATTCATGGAGGAGGCATTCAGAATTAATTTGAACATTATGGGAAATTTGGTTATAGTCTTTTTAAAAAAATACTCAAGTTCTGTACAGTAAAATGGGTAGGTAACCAGTAAAAATGGATTTTAATGTTTGAACTCAGCATCCCAAAATTAGCTTGCACCGAAACATGTATAGGCAAGTGTAATGAAGGTAACAATAAAATATGCTTTTATATGAGGTATTAATTCGCCTTAAGAATTTTCATCTTTATAGCTGGCTATGAAGAGGCAGGAAATACTGCAGGTAAAGCAAACTATCACAGAGTCTGCCAAATAACAAATGTCTTTTTAAAAGTATGTTTTCTTTGTATCTTATATTTGCATAGTAAATATCTTCAGTGTATTTCTGTGAAGCATCTTTGTTAAAAATTACTTCTAATAATAAAAAGTAAATCAACTATGCATTTCTATAATAAATCTTTTGAAGCATTCTACAATAAAACATTTACATACATATAATGATTTGAAATTAATGACTTTTTACTTTTTGGTTTACTTTGCAATGTACAGTTTAATATTAAGCAACAAACTACTTTTATTTTTATGATAAATCACTTTGAATATATTTTTTCTCAAAAAGCACTAGCAATCTATTTCTATAGGAAATTATTTACAGTACATTTTTACTTATGATGTAATCCCATAGCAAACTAGCTGTAATACATTTAAAGATCTTCATACAAAATATTTATCATGTATTTAAATTGGATAGGAAAGTTAAGTGATCTAGAACAGTGATTCCCAAACATTTTTACTCTGGGATGCATATTCGGAATGAAAATCTTCTCATGCCTCACCAAATTTTATGTAATAAAAAGTACATTTAAAAATAAAAACCAGAGAAAGGGTTAAAGGAAGATAACTGCGGATTCAGAGTCAGAACATTATCATTGATAACTCTCTCCTCCAATTTGTGGACACTAGTTACTATATTCTTAATACTTGATATGCAAAAATATCACAATGATAAAACCAGTCAATAATTATTTATAACTCTTTATACTGGGACTCATGCATGCAATTACAAGTAATGCATAAGAATATTTAAAATTTTGAAATCATATTTATTTTTGGCATATGAATTTTTTGAAACTGTTTCTAAATCTTTGATTGTCTTTCAATCATTCCGACTCACCTGCTATCCTCTTCTGCCGCACATATGAGGCACACTGTATCATTTGGGAACCACTGATCTATAACTTCAGCATTGCATTTGTGGAATAATTTATTGCTGATTAATTCCAATAATATACTTTCAAAAAGTTAAAATATTTTAGGAAGACTTTATAGTGTCTTTAAGATTTATCAAGTACTGAAGATAACATTGTATCAATAACATGGAATTTAGATTAAAAAAAAATGCTTTACCATTTAAAAATTTTTTTTTTTAAAACTTTGGCCAAAACGATTATTAAACATTTGTTTTTTTTTTTTTTTAAATGTATTGTAAACTGTAAATTAAAAAGAAAAGCTTTTTTCCAATATGGCATCAAATTAAAAAAAAATTGAGATCAAAGAATCCATGCAGGAAATGGCAGGAATCAACATGTGTTCTTCAAATGCAAGATATTCCTTTTGATCCAAGAGAAGTGACTCTCTAACTTTCCCTGTTAGGCATCTATTCATATCAAAAGGATATAAAAATGTTAAGGAAAATTTTCATAAACAAGAAAAGAAGAATGTGAAATAAAGATTTTCACAGGATGTGACCAATTTAAAGTATGTTGCTTAAGTTTTTTCATTAGATGAAAATAAATACTCATTGAAATTCATAACAATGGTTGACAATGCTTCATTTAATAAAAAAAATGAAATGAAATATTCATTATAAATTAATAAATTTATAATCATTGACAATGCTTCATAATTATAATTTTTATAATTATAAGTTTATAACTAATGTTTATTAGATAATAAACATTAGTTATTGTTGTAACCTAGGGAAGGTTACTGAATAAAATAATCACATGAAGGTTGGTAATAAACAATAATACTTAGGACATGAACAACACACATAAGATTCGCCAGTAGTCAACTGCTAGAAGTGAGTCAAGTGAATTCCACAATGAATCTCCAACTGCAGGATATCTACCAACCGCCCCACGTGGTCAGATGTGTCACAAGGCTGAATTTAATGTGGGGTATCCGAGCTTGGCCAAAAATTCCCCGTAGACCCCGTATAAAACAGGGTCAAGTAAGTGTTTCACAAGACAAGACTCTGCCCTTTGGCATAGCCTTGTCTGGAGATCCTCTCTGCCCTGAGGCAGAGAGTTTGACCAGCACAGCTGGAGATGAATCTCCAACTACAGACCAACATACAGTATTTACTACTGTATTTATGTGAATGGGGACATACCCATTATTTTCATAGGTATGCTATAACAGTTGTAAACTTAAAATTGTTAACAGTGGTTCATTATTTAAAAAATAAATTAAAGTTAATATTGTTCATACTATTAATACTTACTTTGCACATGCTGTGTAGAGTTTATCATCTATCACTTGCCTCGCTGTCTCTGGGCAAAGAGCAACTTAGTTGTGGTTCTGTCTGTGGACAGAAACACAGCTGAAGAAAATAAATATTGTGAGATGACCAATCCTGGAACCCCCTCATTGTACTAGAGAGTAGGGGGGATTTGTAGTCATACCGATGCCAGTGCAACCAATGGTTGCAGGGGCTGGGTAATTTGTGGCCCTGGCGCAGGTGTATGCACTTGGGTGCTCTACATTAAACCTGACATTGTTTCACTCAGTAGAGAGACAACCTAAATACTACTATTTAAAAACAAAAACAAATTTCATGTTAAAAGAAATGAAGAAAAAAGAATGAAGACAGGAATTAAAAGCTAGATTTCTCCTTAAATCTGTTGAATTCTCCTTATTTGTAATAACAATTGGGGCAGCAAACCTGGTTTTTGGGATAAAAAGGATGTCAGTTTGAATCTCACCAAGAGTTGATCCTTTTTTTCTGATTCTATGCTATCAAAACTAACTGTTGTAGATTGATAACCTGAGTAAAATTATGGATAAAAGCAACTAAAAAAGATGGGTTATCTTTCACTACTTTTTAAATTCATTTTCTAACTTTTTCACAAATACAGATGTGTAAAAATATACTATCCCAAAGATTCATTTAGTAGTCTGAAAAGAAAAAAAAATTTTAAATATCACATCTTACTTTATAAAAGATCACCAATATGTAAATTAAAAGGTGGAAACAAATAATCCAAAAGAAATGTATTTTTAAAAACTGAAAACAAATAACCCACAAGTAACAAAAAATGAAAATAAAAACTAGTCAAAATTAATAATAGTAAAAGTATTATATACCGTACCTATGAACACTAATGGGTATGGCCCAATCCTCATAAATACGTTGGGCACTATTGTAAGTAGGGGGGTTAATATGCTGTCTAAGTAGTCCACCACTAGCAGTGGTTTACCTACTTCACGCCGCTGGCAAGCATTGTATTTTGTTGAGGTTATAAAGATTACCATTTCATTTCCAACCTCTTTTGGTTGTTCCTCATTCAGTAACCCTTTCTAGGTTACAACAAAAGGTTAGTGTATTATTACTTTAATTTTAAAATGTTACATGTATATCATACACTCATTTTTAAATAAAAAAATAAATTTATAATAAAATTTGCAGTTTTGCAAGTTTTGCTAATTTTGCTAATTTTCAAGTACTGAAATTTGAAAATCAACCCTTGCAAATTTCATCATTAATTTATATTTTTTTTTATTTAAAAATGATAGTATGATACACATATAGCATTTTATATATATATATATATATATATAAATAATTGTGTGTGCGTGTGTGTGTGTATAAAGAGAGAGAGAGAGGTTGAGTGTATCTATTAATTTCCTCTAAATTTTAGAGAATAAATACTGAAATATCTGAATATTTTGGATATATTTTAGAGTCTAAAATATACAATTACAATAAAATCAACATTTATCAAATAGGAATTACTTACAAGTAGATTTTTAGTGAGTTAGCTTCATCCCTGATGTAAAATTGTTTGAAAAATAAAAATTATTAAAGGATACTGAAATGTGGAATTTTTTCAGATTAAAATATTTAGTGTTTCCATTAAAAGCCTCAGAAACTGCAACAAAAGAAAACAGAATATATGTAACATAATTAGAATCAGTATAGGAAAAAACACAGTATTTATTTTTAAATGAAATTATACTTTGAAAACAAGCCTATATTTTGTCAACTTCATAATATGAAATGAGGAATTTAATCAAAAACTGAAAATTTAATTAAAAGATGTGTATGTCAATGGGAGCATCATGTCTGAAGAACATGTCAGGGCAAAATTGGCTGAGTATGAGCTGATGTGCAAAGGCCCAGAACATAGAACATTTGAAGAATGGAGCTAGCATGCTCAGACTGGAAGTCTGCATGGAGTGTAACACTCTGTAGTGGACGCAGGAAAGCATGATCCCAAATGACCCTGATACTCAGCAGAATGTTTTCTCACTATGCGGGAAGTGTGTGGATGGTTGCATGTGGTGACCAGGTTCATCAAACATCAGGCAAATGCAGTCACAAAGGGATGAAACAACCATGTTGACAACATCCTCCACAAGCAGATAGTGAAGGAAACTGTGGACAGATTGCAACACGAAGATTCAAGCTCTGTAGCAACAGGAGTGGTGCTGGAAAAAGATGGTGAAACATTGGAAGATGCATGCTGGCTTTGGCCAACAAATGATGCCCAACATATCAACTTGGTTGAACTGGATGCTGCAATCAAAGGCCTCACTTTGGCCATCTAGTGGCAGGGAATTAGTCTACACATAAAAAAAAACAATTTCTTATGTGTGTACCACTGGCTGTCTGATACCCTCATAGGGCAAAGCTAGGGTAGATACCAAAGTACCGAGCAAGATGCTGGTGCAAAGAAGGTTGAGCATAATGTAGGAACTGGTTCAAGAATATAAGTTGTCTGTGGACATGATGCTGGTCACATGAAACCAGAACTTGGCAGACAAGTGACCCATGTACCACAAAGATGGCTCAATACAGCCAAAAAGAGAGATGAACTTGTGCAGCAGGTATGTGCTGCATCCCTCGACACAATGAGTCCCACTCAGATAATGGAAGTACATCAATGCAGTGGGCATCCAAGAGTATGGCATACCACATATTTTGTGGTGAGAGTTTGTCCTTCTGTGATTAAGGACATGGTAAAATCAGCCATTGGGACCTGTGTGGAGTGCACATCAATAGATGCTGTACCAGTCCATTGGCAATAAGGCAGACCATGAGGGAACAGTACTTGGTACCGGTTTGGTATGGATATCACTCACTACCGCATCAGTCATTACCTGTCACTAACAGATTGTGGCCTTTGACATTTTTCTGTGTGGTGGCTGTTACACCACCAAGACCCATTAAGTACCATATGTCATTCCACAGCAGGGTGTTCCAGGCCTTTGCCCATCAATGCATGCATGATCTGGCAGGAAATGGAATAACAGAATGGTGTCACAAAAGTCAAGAGGATTGCAACCAGGATGAAGTATAGTGTTGAAGAGGCCACCTACTGGTACAATGTAACCCCCAGAGATGATACCTCACCATTGATTGTATCTACAGATCAAGTCTACAGATATGTGGTTTGGCTTAAAGAGACTGATTCAGTGCCTCCAATGATGTCTGAGGTTGGCCACAACATGTACAAGGTGGGAGATCCTGTGTGAGTATAGGCCTCACAAACCAGTGTACAAAAACTTTCGGAAATCAGTCTTGGTGGACAGAATGCCCTGCCATTTCAGGCACCTTTGTTCTTCCCTGAGTTCACTAGATTTAGAAGGTTTTATTTTGAGAAAAATATTTATTCTTGCAAATCTTTCAGGAAAAAAACTTAAAAAATATAAACTATGTTAATTTTTTTCTTTCAATTTTTTTGACTCGCGAAGTCTAACACTTTCATTGTTATTAACATACATACACATCTTTCTGAAAATTACAGTGCCTGCTGTTGACATATATATATATATATATATATATATATATACACGTTTTCAAGAGGAACATGATTTTACAAAACTTATATTACTTACTGTTGATATATGTATATGCTTTCAGCATAATGTTCAACACACTTACCATGATAGTAGAAATTTTTTCAATCCCCTATATTCATATATGCCGTGGCGTATGCAATCCTTTTACCATTACAGACAAAGGAGGATCATGAAGAACACCAGAAATGTGCCCAAATTTCAAAGAATAAGAAACATGATATGGCTTCACTTTATCTTTTTGTGTGAGAATCATGACAACTTGACTGAAAAAAATAAAATAAAAATTATACAAATATATAAAGAATATAAAATAAAAACTTTTGTTTTTCATAATTAAAACTACTTGTTGCATCCACAACTGAATATGTAACAGGTTGTATTGGATTGCATATTGAAATGTGACAGTACACACACACGCACACGAGAGTGCTGAAAAGTTCTTAGGCTCACCCACTTCCCAAAATTTGGCTAAAAATGTTTGGGTTGAAATGAGACAGTTTACACAAACATAAGCGAGTGCTGAAAAGTACTTGTTCAAGTTTGTTACATTCACGTATGTGCAAATATCCTTGGGAAAGGTATGAATCCATTTTCTTGTTCAAACTATGGGCTAAATAGTAGGACATGTATCTGGAAAGAAATCATTGTTATTCTAAAAAAAAGAAAATAAAGAAAGAAAGAAAATTGTTCACTTGCAAAAAGATCTGAAATATATTTTGATTTTAAAGAACCCACAAAGTTTTCATAAGTTGTAAAAACAAATCAATCAGAAGCAACAGAAATTTGGTTCTACAAAAGAAAGATGAGAATATGTATAAAGCATATGAATGGCAATGAAACTTTTAGAAAAATGAAAACAAAAAGGATTCTTATACTTAAAATCAGAAAGAATTAGTTGAATTTTTTATGATGCATAAGGAAAGGGAGCTTGGAGAATTTAACACACACAGAACATATTAAGGGCAGAGGGAAACAACAAGTAATCTTCTTAACAAGTTTATGTAAATGGATGAAAAGTAGGAGGGACAGTAAAAAGACAAATGCGCTACAGAGGATAGAAAATTGTGGAAAGACATGATCATCCATGCCCTGAAGGAACACAGCACATAAAAGAAGTTGCCCAACAATATCTGAAGGGATAAGAAATACTATGACATCCCCCTGACCCAATGGAACAAGATCCATTTAATATATAGGGAAAATTACAGGAAAGTAAGAAAAATTAAAAAAATAACTTGCATTATATAAGAGGGTGCTGTAAAGAAGTGCTTGAAAAAGATAACATCCATGTTTGGAAATGAGTCAGGTTAACATTTAGAACTGTATCATTTACAAATATTAATTCCCCTTTTATGGTATATGGAATCCTCTCAAAATATAGTGTTTTATATATTAGTTCTATATATTTGAAATTGAAGTAGCCTGGCTATCAATTTCAGTCTTAGATTGTTTTAGGTCTTGCTATAGAAGGGTATGACTACACAACCAAGAAATTCAAATTCTGCTCAAGACTAACATTTTGCTTGGTGAAAAAATCACCTACAGAGTGCTAAAGGTTAAGAACTTTTCAGCACACCCTCATATTAACCTTGGAAATAAATCAGACCAGTTTTAACAAAAAAAAAAAATGAACGACAAAAAAGAGGATTGGAAAGCATTTTTGCATATAAAATATGGTGAGACTTATTCTTGAGGGAAACGCTATATAATGGACTGGATAAAAATGTTGTGGTAACAACAAAAATAAGGAAAAAATTAGATCAATACCCCCAAACAACTCTTGAAAAAAAAAAAAAAACCCAAAAAAAAACAATTCTAAATATTTTATAAAAGCTGTGGGGGAATAAGATAAAATTTATAAATAAAAAAATAATAATGAATAATAATACAAAAAAATTTTTTGCTCCATGATGCTAGTAATAAAGGAACTGGAAATTTTATTACACGACTTGGCTTCGTCTAATGGTGAGGCTGGTTAAATCTATATAGAGACTAATATTTTCCTTGCTCCAAGATGTAGCAGGACATGGAAAAAGGTTGGCCCCGCTGGGTCATGTTTGCTTCCCCAGTCCACTGATGACTGAACTCTCTAACACATGCATGTCTTCCAAAACCTCCACCTGTGAAGTAAATAAACTTTTCCTTTGGTTATTCCAACTGAGCACAAAGATGACTTGAATTTCACCATTATAACTATGCCTAAACCTCCAACAATGGAGTGAGTATAAATTTTTCTTTGGTCATTTCATCTCTGTGCAAAGCTGAATTGAACTCAACCATTATAACGATGCTTATCCTTACTCACTCTACCTTCTGGATCAAGAAAACGAAAACAGACATACCATTATATCCATGCTTAAACCTCCAGCAATGAAGAACAAACATTTCTTTGGTCATTTCAACTCTGCACAAGGCTGACTTGAGCTTAAACCATGAAAATGATGCTTATACTTACTTACTCTAACTCCTAGACCAAAAAGAAAACAAACATACCTAAAAGAAGTTTGTTTCACTACAGTTTATATAAAAAAAAAGGAGAAACAGTTTGTGGTATAAACCCAAGTTTTTGTATGCTTCTTCTTAATAGTTTAAATAGGAACATGCGAGTTAGCTTGAACATTCATAAGTCTAGCACGCCAACCATCATGATCCTCCATTAAGGTCGGATGGTCCTTAGGGTGGCACTCCGTGTCATAACATAGCTGGTCAATGTAGGTGGTTGCTGGGCGGCCAACTCATTTTGCTCCATATTATTTGAAGTTTATCAACATGACTGACTGACCACTATTGAAAGTAATGTAAAAGATATTTACCGATGCAGGGGTGGGATGACATCAATTGATGAGAGATTATCCCGTGTTGATACAATGTTGGTGCATTTTTGTGGGTCACATGTAATACGGATGGTTGCTTGGTGGACAGGAGAGAGGTTTTCAACCATAATCATAGATCCAGCCCAGCCTTTTACTAAGCTGCACACTTGGACATTGTTGGCAAACTGAGAAAAAATAAAATTTACAAACTTATTTACACTTTGATTTTTATAAAGTAGAAATATAAACATTAAAGACAAACATGTCTTCTCTGGTAATGAATAACATTTTGATCCAAAGATCACCTTAAATCATCAGTGGAACTATCTCTGATACATTTATTAATTAATGTTTTTAATGACATACACAGAGATTCTCTATTTGATTGTAATGTCTTCAGTTTTCATGACTATATATATATATATATATATATATATATATATATATATATGCCATTTAGGTAGGTAGTGCCTATCCTGAATAAAATAGATCAGCAGCTACATTTTCCTTCTGTGGCACAATATGCACCTAATCTAACGAAATTATGAAGGTTACTTTGATTATTATGCATAAAATGCAAAATATTTTATTTTGTAGATTTGCTACATAAAGGTTATAAGCTGCCTTCCCGGAGAAATTACTGATGGCACATGCCTGATTATATATATATATATATAAACTTCAAACATTATTTTTCAGTTGATACACATATTTGAGAAGATGCTGCATTTATTTTAAGCATTATTTATTTTGTATATTGGCCTGCATACTTGAGAAAATTTAATAAAAAATGTGCCCTCCATCAGGATTCAAATCAGCATACCTCTTTCCAAGAGGAATAACTTGTCAAATCCAGCATGCTTTTAGCGCTTGGCTACAAAAAGCTTCACAATCAAGCTAGATTCTATTTTGCCTTTAAAGCACACTTTCTCATTCAGATTTTTCTTGAAACGCATATCTGCTCAGTTTTGTATTTGAAACATACATAAAGCAATTTCTAAAGCAAGGTTCTATTTGCTTGATTCGAATATGGCTCCAGGGAACATTTTCTTTTGAGTATGCAGGGCAGAAGACAAAATAAATATTGTTTAAAATATTAAAATAAATGGAACGTCTACTCAAATATGGATTTCCACTAAAAAAAAAAAAAAAAAAATGTCAGATTAAAAAAGAAAATCCATTGATTTTTTTAGAAATTTCTTTACATATATATATATATATATATATATATATATATACACACATGACCACTCAATACATAATTAAATTAAAAAATTGGGAAGAAACTATTAATTAATCTACAAAAAATACCAGGAAAAGTATGTCATTTTAAAGCATATATTTCCTTTATTACACACTGATTTACTTGAACTTGTGTCCTGATTTTGGTTGTTATAGTCACACCATTTTGGTTACTGTACTCTCAGGCCTTCTTCAGGTGTCTGTGATTTATTCAGTTCATGGGGTTAAACTGTTCTCATTCAGCTATTCATGGTAGAAGAAGCCTTTTATTTTTCTAGTTAATTAATTTTTGTGACATTTGTCTCTTTCACAGAACCAGAGTATATGACTTTTTGCACTACCAACTCAGGGATTGAATTGATGGAAATTAGGTATCCACTTTCATCCACTAGACTGTGAGTTCAATCCTTGGGTTGGCTAGTGCAGAAAATCATAATATCTGTTAAGAGGAAGAAACAAGTAACACCACAAGAAAGAATTAACTCATATGCAATATCCCTTAAAATGGCGAGTGGAATGAGAACAATTTATCCTAATAAATTGAATAAAGAGTCTGAAATTCCCAAAAGGTTCTCAACAGTAGATATTTGAAGGTTGGTGAGTACAAAAGTAAGTATAGCAACCAAGATGAAGACACAAGTTCAAGCAAATCAGTGTATAACAATGATAATTTCTTATCTCAAAAAAAAAATTAGACAATGCATATTTTCTTCATGTTAATTGCATTTCCATTGATATTTATGACAGGGAAAACTGGCTCTGGAAATAAACAATTAATTGACATTTATGCATATTTGTAAGGGTCACTTGAGATTTTTCAGCTGCTGGAATATTAATGAATTTGTTTCTCAATATGAATAAAGAATAGGAATATGTAACAAATTATGGTCTATTAATTAACAGTTAATAGCCTAAAAACTATAAAATATTACAAAATACAGGTAAATAGTCACTGTTTCATTGCCAATAGATAGAGAAAGACAGATTAATGAAGAGAAATAAAGGATTCTGGAATGCTGCCCTTGATTATGTAATGCACTTTTTTTGCATATTCCCTTAATATATAATAAACAAGTATGTTCTTTTGTTGCCTGTTTAAATCAGCAGATGAGACAGTAGTTGGATTATTTTTTTATTGTATCCTTACAGAATAAGAATAGATACATGAAGATAAAGAAATTAAAAATGACCAAAGAAATTTTAAATTCTCAATTTTATATCAAAAGTTCAGCAATGTTTAACTTTTGTTCCTGCAAGAAAGGTGCATCAAAAAGACGATTATTCACTTGATACTTGTTATTACTGTGTACAATTTTGACTCCCTCTGCAATGTTTATTGTTTTAAAATGCAAAACATATCATGTTTATTCAAATTTTCTTGTTCTATAGTTTGATATTTTTATAAAATTATGAATAAAAACTTGTTATCATAGTTATTTATAAAATAGTAAATAATAAATATTGCATGATAGATGATTTACATATTTTGATCATTTTGTAATTCTTAAATTTTTGAAAAGAAATTTCTTTTCAAATTTAATTTTTTATAAAATAGTAAATAAATCTTTATAAAAGGTTAATAATAAATATTGCATTGTACTTGGTTCACATAATTTTTAATATTGTAAAATAAACATTTCCAAGGAAGTCAAAAGTGTAAACAGTAACAGTGATATCAAAGGAATAACTGCCATTTTGACACACTTTTTTTTTTTTTTTTTTACAAGCATGAAGTTTAAGCATTACCAAAAGTTAAATCAAGAAAAAATGTTGGTACGGATTAAAGAATTAAAATTTCTTTAGAGTCAAAATGTACTTTATGGTCACATACTATGGCCGATTCTGTATTGCCAAAATGAATCTAAAACCAGACATTTTTGCATAAAAAAATTGCAAAAAATGTCGACAAATAGAAAACTAGATTTAATATAGTGTATTAAGTTATTCATCCAAAGCATGAGCTATCATTACCATAGAATTTTTTTTTAATCCATATCCTCCAGATGTTAATTTAAACTGACACCTTTTTTCTATATATCTAAAATATAATCTGGGAAAGCAAAAATTTCACTGAAATATGTTGAAAAATTTATAATTTTTCATCTGAAATCAAGAAAATACAAACTTTAAGCAAAATGGTCACAGTCTATAGGAAAAAGAAGGTATTACTTTATACTGATGTTAATTGTAAAGGTGAGATAATATACAAAACTGTTTTCATGAGTTTGTTAAATATTTAATGCATTCCCTACATAGAGAAATGAACCAAAAGTTATAAATTTTTCCACATTTAGCAAAAGGGAATCCTAGATAATTCTGTGAAAATATCACCAGAATTCAAAAAAACAGCATCACTTTGTCATTGGAATTTGAGGAAAAGGTAAAAAATAAAAAAATAAAAAACAAAAACAAGAATAAAAAATGAACCAAATTTAAACAGAAATTGAATGAAATTAGCTAATACAAAAATACCGGATTGTTTTATTTTTATGCCTATCTAAAATTTTATCATTATTAGAAACACAACCCCTGGCAAAAATGATGTAATTAGCACACTTACAGAATGTTCCCTTAGGTATTTTTTCTTTAGCATTAAATAAGCAAATAACAGATAAGGTGCAAAAAATTTCTTATTTAATAGCTGCAAATTCTGGTGTCATAAAATATACTTTAAAGAAATCAGATTAAATTATTTAAATTTAGGGTATAATTTTTTCCCAAACAATGGAGAGGAAAATATGGAATAGCACAATATGTAGAAGAAAAAATTATTGAATAATCCCATAACTTGCATTCCTAAAAAGAAATACCAGCAAATTGGTCTATAGTTAAAAGAAAATTCTTGCAAAGCTCAACAAATGATTGAACATACGTAATTGAAAAGAAACATGGCTGCAACTAAAAAACTGTCAATTGAAACAATGAAAAAGATCATAGAATCCATTCAGGAAGTCAATCCACAGTGGTGTATGGTTGTTCCTAGTCAGCTGTGTCTCAAATTTGGTGTAAATATTAAAGAAAGAGGATGGTTAAAAGAAGGAAAACATACTGGTAAACCTCGAAAGACATCAAAGAATCAGGATAGACAGCTTAAAGAAGTATGTCTTGAAAATAGAAAAATTTACAACAAAACAAATGGGTTGAAATAGGAGTCAATGTTTGTAAAAGAACTGTAAGAGATTGGCTGAATGAAATGGGATTTACATTCAGAAAATGCAAAGAAAAAACAAAAACCAGCACTAACAAACAGATGAGATTAAAGTAGGCTAAAGAGAAACAATCTTGGCATGTGTGGATGATTGGATGAGAACAATATTCAGTGATGAATCAAGAATCTTCATTCATGATATAGCGTTGCATGTCATTTAAAGAACCAGGGGAGATGGCAATCATTGCCTCAACAATCAATGCACATATGTAGATTGAAATCCTGGATAGTTTTCTTATTTCAGCAATAGAGAATTGGTCATTTTTCAGGACAATAATGTATTTTATAAAAGAGCAAAGAGCATTAAAGCTTTTCTTCAGTAAAGACATATGAAATCAATAACATGGCCAGCAAACAGTCTAGATCTAAATCCAATTAAAAATTTATGGTAAAAATTGACCATGAGAAGACTCCATCTCTCAAAGAAGATCTATTACTCACCATTTGGTAAAGTTGGAATGACTGATATAGAATATTGCTTTTAAATAAGTAAAATCTATGCCTGAAAGAATTAAGGTGGTTCTAAAAGCTTGAGTGAGGAGCAAGAAAGTATTAATTCTAATTTTAAAATTTTTCCTTAATATTAGGTTATTCCATATTTTTCTTTGCTTGTCTTAGGAAAAAATTATACATTTAATTTAAATAATTTAATCTAGTTAGTTTAAAATATATTTTATGAAAGAATATTCTGTTATTAAATAAAAAGCATTTTGCATCTTATCTGCTTCTAAAGTTTATTTGCTGCTAAAAAAACAAAAATTCCATCATTTTTTTCAGGGTTAGGATGTAGATAAAGACATAAAATTGATGAAATAAATGTAGTTTCATATGAAAGATAATTTTGAATATATTAAAAATTAGTATGTCTTCTCTCTAAAATTAGATTATATAAAAGAAAAGAATTATCTGTTTTTTTTAAATGCTACAGATATGATTTTTTTCTCCTGAAAAACTACTTTCCCCAATGACACCATTATTTGTTAGCTTATGGCCATATCAGTTTGAAATACCAGTTCCCCTGTACAATCACTAAAGTTAAGCAACATCAAGCCTGGTCAGTACCATGATGACCACTTGGGAAACCAGGTGCTGTAAGCTTGGATGTGTGAGTGGTGTAATAGATAACGGCATGGAATTGTTAATGGGAAGTAGAGTTCCAATTCCAGTTGGGTTCGTTATATTCATTTATGTTCAAATACCCTTGCAAAAGGTATGAATCCACCTATTCTTCCCCAGCTATGGGTTAATTAGTAAGTCTTGTATCAATAAATCATTATTATTTCCAAAAATAAAAATCCTTAAAATCTAAAAAATATTTTCTGGTTTTAAATAACCTGAAAAAGGCAGATAAGCTGTAGAAAATGAATCCATCAATCATTATTTGTCATGTTTTCACTTAACCTTTTAAAATCCCTCTATATGCGCACACACACACACACACACACACACACACACACAAAATGAATATTTCAATTTAAATAGCTTTTGATGAATTTCTTCAAAATTATTAATAGAGAAAAAATATTTGGTTGGAAAGCAAGTTCTTGCAGTATGTAGAACACTAAATTTTTTTTTTTTTTTTTAGATATTTATAAACTTTTCCTTCAAACCAGATATTATTTTCTGGTAGAAATTAGCATTTAAAAATATTGCTATATAAGACACATATCTGAGGGGGATTAAAGTTTTGATTAAAGCATATCTGGTTTGTCTGTTCAATCCCTGGTTTGGCTAGTGTAGAAAAGTCATACACTCTGGGTCAGACAAAAAACAGACAAGTGACAAAGACAAAGCAAATTGAATAGAGAGATATGGATACAAGACATTCCCTTAGCAGAGAAAATGGAATAAGAACAATCTACTTCCATGGATTGAATAAAGGGTTCAGCTGAAAATGTTACTGATAATGACAAACACCTGAAGAAGGCCAGAGAGTACAACCACCGAAATGTTGAGTATGCTGGCCTAAATAAAAAGGCATAAATAATAATTCCTCATCTAAAAAAGTCCAACATAAATTATCCAGAACAAATTCATTTATAATCAAAACTCATCACAAACAAACATATAGATATTTTTAAAGTAATCAGATTGCCAATCCTATTGAAAAATTCCCTTTTTACTTGTATGATATAATATTAGGATAAAACTAATACCAAAACAAAGAGAATGTTTATTGCTATTGGCCAAAATTCAAATGAAAATTAGCAATTCTTATAGCCATAAAATAAATTTTCTTGCATTAAATATACTAGAGAATAAATTAATTTAAAAGCAGATATTATTAGAAAAAACTACTTATATCTTTTTAGATTAGCTTATAATGCAGTATATGAACTAATAGAGAATAAAACAGAGGTTTGCTCAGAGTTGGCTAATTTCAAATCCCACAGATGTTAACAGCTTCAATATGGAAGGAAATAGAAAAAAATTTCTGGTCATAGCATCTAATAGGGATATTTATTACCTCTTCCTCAGATCACAATGCACTTTCCTTTACACAGAGGGTTTGTCTCTCATTTTGTCATGAAGAAAACTACCATAAGGAGGGGGAAACATGTCTGCATAGCTTTTGCACTTTCTCTCCTTATCTTCATTTTACAAGTTACACTTCTACACTTGGGAATTGTAGTGATGTGTAAATGACTGCCTAATTAGCATAGCTAAGGCATAGAGAATATATAAGTGCCTAAACAGTAAGGAGAGGGGCAGAGTATAATACACAAGATTAATGTATTAATGTGAATTGAGAAAATACGAAAGAAGTCATACTTCATAACAGAAATACAAATAACAAAAGCTTTTTTTTTAATTCTCAACATTGTCAGCTTTTCTTGAAACTCATAATGAAGTGTTATATATATATATATATATATATATATATATATATATATATATATATATACTGTATATTTCTGTATATAAAATAAACTTTAAATTAAGATGAGGTCCAAAAATATAGCAAATTTTCATGAATTTATCCTATTCCTGTAGTATAAGATGACTGCTTATTGATTATATAAAGCTGATGTAATTGGAAATGTTGTTACTGTAGCTTTAGAAATTCAAAACAAATGAAATAACAAAACCGATTCTATATCATGTTTTTCTTACACATCCCCTAAAAAGTAAGAAAGTTGTTTTGTTTGTTTCATCACATGATCTCTTGCAAATATTGATTCTTCTTCTTTCCCTATATATAAACAGTTACAAACAGCCTGATGTACTAATGGCTATTTATTTATACTTCCTCAACAATTTAATGAGAAATGAATATTATGTTATCCTAAATGTTATTACTGCTGTAATAAACACTAACATGATGATTATTGAAAGTTTAGTGAAAAATAAAGGTTGCTGTGAATGTAATTGTAACTCGATATTTACATTTTCTCAACTGAGCTTGCATGGATACAACCTGATTTCATTGATATGGAATTATTCTTCGAATAGGTAATTTATTATAAAGTTATGCCAGTAATATATGAGGTAGAAATGGTTTTATTACCTTTATTATCAGGTTATTTGATAATGTGACTCTTTTCATATACGTTATTGGTTGTCACATCAAGGCCGAGGTTATCCTACCAAACATCACTCAGAATTTAATGTTTCTGTTTTAGAACTGTAGTACAAGACAACTTCTAATTTTTAAGGGTGATTTTCAAGATTTAAGGTCATCTTATACATGGAAATATACAGTATATCTTAAAATGTAAAACAATTTTAAATTTGCTTAACTCCTAGAATTATTTACAAAATTTATTATGACTGAAATTGATCTTTTTTTAAGAAAACTTCAACTTAGCCAATCCTATTGAAAAATTCAATCTTTAATTTTTTTTGAAAGTTTTTTTTTTTTTTTTTTTTAAACAGAATTCATTTTTGACTGATTTTATATCTTCAAGTGTAAACTCCTGTAATACAAAATAAAGCCGAAATGCATTGTAATGTTACTTACTGATATTTCTTTCAATCACAAGTGAGAAAATTGCATACATACAGGCAATAGCTAATTAACAAGCATTCATTTCAATGGTACAGTCCAGTGGGCAATGCTGTACAACTTTTTTCCAACATTTAAACAGGAAAGTGCAAAATAAGATATGTTAAAACAATAGGGACATTCCAAGCATTAAACAAAAATTTAAATTTTTAATTGTAAATCATTTTAGATAGATTTTATCACATAATACCTAATGCATTTCAACAGTAAATCATTACTCTGTGATACATTTCTGTAGATAATTTCCAATGCATTTCTACAGTAAATCTATTGTGAAATACTTCTATATGAAGCCACCTTCCATGCATTTCTATATAATTACAAATACATTCCTAAAATAAATTTTTGCATCACATTTCTATAAAAATAAAATGTATAAGAAAGTCATTAAAAAAATGTTATTTAGACATGAAGTTAAATTTTGAGCATGGAATTATTAATTGATGAGAGAAACAAATTTCAGATAGTTTAATCCAAATAGAGCAATAATTCTGCTAGGATTTGTCAATAGGCTTACGTGCTCTCTTCGTCCTCTTTCCAGAATCAATTGAATGATGATGTCTGCCAATAGATATTTTTCATTGTAGCGTTTTGATGATGGACTCAACTCCTGCAGCAAAAAGTCTTTGGTACAATGGAAGACCAGAGTAAATGGAATGACATTAGCTTTTGGAATGGACGCTGAACTTTGTCCATTATATTCTATGATAAGAAAATAAAGAAATCATATTTAATTAGATTACGTCTGATCAACTAAAACAATAAAAATTACTTAAGTGTATTTTGTTTTTAGATAAAAAAAAATACTTTCTGTTAGAAATTAATATTCAAAAACTTTTAATATAAATTTCTTGGTTCATTTTACTGTCCATCTGTAAAATATATTCTTTGATGCAATGATATTCTGACATTGTTATAAGTATATTCAAGAGTTATAAGCAGCCATTTTCTTTTCTTTGTGTATCTAAATAAAACGAAAAATAGTTCAGTATTTATCAAAATGATGGCACTACTGATCTGTTCATTAAAAAAAAAAATAGGGAAAATCTTTTTTGTGACTAATTTTGGTTGATTGGTTTTCATTAGATCTTCCTCTAAGAACACTGTCAGAATTTTTAAAAATATTGACTTTTTATAATTTTTGTAGTGGGTTCTCTTCATAATATAAATACAGTGTCAAATTAATCATTGTTTATTTTTAAAAAGATATTTTTACCTTGATTTTATTTACAAATGTCAAATTTGAAACTGGGTCCACTTCATTGATAACTGCATATTATGGATATTGTCATTTTTTTTCCAGTTAGGGGTGTGTATTCATTTAAGATAAATATTAATTATCTCCCTTTGTTTGTGCAAATACCTCTGTAATAAAATCAAAGCTCAAAAGGAAAATATACAAATCTATTTTACAAAAGTTTATTTTAAAATTAGAAAAAATGATGACAGTAATTGCATGCAGTTATAAATAAAGTGGGTCCAGTTTGAAATCTGACATTTGCAAATAAAAAACAAGGTAAGATAACTTTTAAAAAATAAAATAATATTTAAAAATATCAGAGATATTATGAACTGGCACCCCTTCTAGTATGATAAAAAGTAAATCAATATTTTTCAATTCTGACAGATGTCATGCTTAGAGAACAGTTTAACTGTTCACTAAAAAATGTCACACAAAAAAAAGTTTCCTATTTTTACAAATGGACCAGTTTCTTTCAGTCATGCCCAAATAGCAAACTATAAAAGTCTACAATCATTCTTATTCACACACATTCTAAAAATTTGACATATAGACAGCAACATGAGCCAAGTCAGTTATATTAAATGGACTTCATGCAACTCTTTCATAAGGCTAAGATCTACATTATCTATAATTTGACTAAAGAGAAATCCAAAAACTAAAAATCATTTTAAAAAAAATATCATAGAATAAGCTTAATTGTAGGGAGTGTAATTACAAATGTCTCTAAATTGTGCCATGTAAAAGAATCATGCTTTGCCACAATAGAAAATTCAAAATCTGAAAACATGCAAAATGCAGTGTGATTTTGTGATGTGGCTAGAAAAGTGAGAAAATTTATAATATGCATAAAAGATGAAGACAACTTCAAAAAGCGTGTTCATAAAAAAGTATCAATAAATATGAAATATTTTGTTAATATTTCAATGTTTATTTGTATCATCTTCAGAATATAATGTTCAGAGAATAACATGAACATTCAAATATTAATCAAATCAATCCAAATTTTGAATTGTCAATCAAATTTTGTTATTTATATTATTTACATTTGGATGGATGTTCTCATCTTTGTTATGACAACTTTTTGGCTGTTGTGCCTTTTGACCTTGTTCAGGTGTCTGTTGATCTACAAGGAATTTCAAAATGAACCCTTTATATAATGGGGGTATAATTTATATATGGGAATAGATTGTTCTTGTTCCATTATCCACACTGAGGGATATCTTGTCTTGTACTTATTTAGTACTATTCAGTTATTGCTTGCTTTGTTTCCACTAAGTCTAAGTCTGTACTACCTGATCCAGAGATTGAACTCACAATTACTCTGTCACCAAATTCATAAATCAATGCTTTAATCGAGGCTATTGTCCCATGTGACAATCCTGAATCTAAAGCTAAATAATAGATTAAAGTGTTGGTGTGTAGATTTTGTAACATAATAATTGCAAGTTCAATCCCTGAACCAGGTTGTACAGACTTGTACTCAGTGGAAACAGGGCAACCAATAACTGAGCAGTACTAAATAAGAACAAGACGAGATATCCCTAGATATGGATAGAGAAATAAGAGTAAATATATCACCATAGATTAAATAAAGGGTTCAATTTGAAATTCCCTGAAGGTTAACTGGATTGACAAACACCTCAACAAGGCCAGGAGGCAGAATGGCTGAAGTTTTTTGATAATAACAATGAAGATGCGGCCTTTCACCTGAATGCAAATAATGTAAGTAAAATAGACATGACAACAAAGGTGTAAGTGATCCAGCTGTTTATATGGATATTTATCATTTTGCCAACTGTTGTAAATTCAGATTTATCTAATTAAAAAATGTGGAAAATACAAAGTTATGAAATTTTTCAAATATTTCCTTTTCTCAACATAGACACTAAGTAAAAGAATTAATGCTCTCATTTTGCTGTTATTATCAACAGTGTTTCGATTATAGTGCCCTTCAGCCTTCTTCAGGTATCTGTCAATCTGGGTAACCTTCAGGGAATTTTGAACTGAACTCTTTCTTTAATCTACAGGGGAAGACACCTCTAGAAGGCTGGAGGACACAATGGCCAAAATGTTGTGATTATAGCAACAAAGATGAGGATATTAGTCCAAATGTAAATAATGATAAATCTTCATCCCAGAAATTTAGACAGAAAGAAAAATATTTTTAAATTTTCTAAATAACTTTTTGAAAGTCTGAAGTTTAAATTTTCTGTTGAGTCTAAAAAGTAGAGGAAATTTAAGATAAAATTAACTTTTTTAAAATTTAAAATTTGCCAAGGAAAGATTGAATGTAAAAAGTTTTATTATTTAGGCATTCTGCTAAAAATGGCATCCAGGTTTTCTTCTTTGAATAACAACATAGGCACATTTAGTTTTGTGTGCAATATAACTGGGAAATTATAATGACTCTCATAATTTTTCTATAGAAAATTATATTAAAAAAATGGATTTTTGAAAATTTATTTTTCTTAAAGAAAAAAACAGCCAGCAAATTTTTCAAATATATCCCTCTCTCAATATATATATTAAGAAAAGTATTAATGTCATCATTTTGTTATTATCACACTGTTTTAGCCATCAGGCTACATCAGCTATCTGTCAATCTACATAACCCTCAGGGTATTTTGAACTGAACCATTTACTTAATCTACAGGGGGAAACATCCGAAGAAGGCTGGAGAACACAAAATGTTATAATTATAGCAACATTAGCCCAAATGTAAATAATGATAACTCTTCATACCAGAAATTCACAGAGAAATCAAATATTGATTGCATATAAATATATTTTTCAAGAGTTATCTTTACATGTCTGTAGACAGAAAAAAAAACATGCTTTGAAAATTCTGGGGAAATATTTCAAGCTAAAAGAAATAGTAAATTCATTAAAAGATGAGTTTTTTTTTTTTCTTTTCTTTTTAGTTATTTCATCCCAAGCAAGACAATAAAGCCACTAAGACACAAGGGGGGTTAATAAATGTAAGAGAATATATGGGAAAACAAATTATTAAAGAGAGAGAACAATAAAAGACAAGTTAACATTTAAATTTTTGAAGATCAAACTTGAATGGAAATCAAGAAAGCAGAAGAGAGTTCCACAAATGAGAAATGTCAGAGAAGAAACAGTTAGCATAGAACTTACGGCTACATCTAGCCATTTCAAAAATAAAATGATGAGAGACCTGGCTGGCAATTTAGTACTGCACTTAAATTCGTAAAGTCTAAGTACCACAGAGGAAAGTTCATCCGAACAATTGCCATGAAAATATTTATAGAAAAGGCACAGCAGAAGCTACGTTATGATAGTTGGAAAGTGAAGTGACTGAAGCTGAGATGACAGGACAGGACGAATAACATTGCAGATTCTTCTTTGTATTTTATCAAGAATCTCTAAATAGATAACAGAAGCACCAGAGCAAATGTGGTAGCCTTTATGAAAGTATACATTTAAATTCAGTTAATTGTTGTTGATCCAGATTTTAATATTTGCCTTTATACATGTTATCCTTTGATAATATCACCTATGGAAAATCTGTAGTTTTTAATCTTTATTGAAAATTTGTACAATCACTTTAAATTAGCAATAAAATTCATTTTGAAGAATTGCTTTATAAAATATACAGGATATTATATTTTAAAGTTTGGTGATTGATCATAATGTAATATATGTTGTATCAATGATTCTTTTACTAATTTTCTTATATTTTCTCAACCTTCAAATAAACAAAATTCATTACTTAAAAGATATTTTAATGCACAAATCAAGTAAAAATCATTGTTTTTTTTTATTAATAATTAAAATTTAATGACTTTCTTGAAATTCTATTCAATAAATTATTTCTAAATGAAATACTAAAAGCATAAACTGAACTGTCTTTATACAGAATGCAGCAGAAATACCTCCAACATAATAAAACATTAGTTAAAGCAGTATTCCCAAACTTTTTCTCTGGGTCACATTTTCAGAATTAAAATTTGCTTGTATCTCACCAAATTTTATGTGATAAAAAGTAAAAATAAAAAACAGAGAGAGAGAGAGAGTGAAAGGGAGATAACCGCGGATTTGAAGTCAGAACATTATTATTGATAATTCTCTCCTCCAGTTTGCAAACTCTAGTTACTATATTCTTAAAACTTGATATAATGCAAAAATATCTCAGTGATAAAATCGGTCAATAATTATTTATAATTATTTATAGTGGGACTCATGCATGTAATTACAAGTAATCCATAATAATAATATTTTAAATTTTGAAATCATATTTATTTTTGGCATATGAATTTTTTGAAACTGTTTCTAAATCTATGATTGTTTTTCAATCATTTCACCTCCCCTGCTATCCTCTTCCACAGCACCTATGATATCTTACATTATGAGAGAGGTATTTCTGCCACACACTGCATATAACAATGGTAATTTGCTAAGTGTAGCTTACAAGTGGTACAAGGCCAAAAATGTAAAGCACCCACTGAGGATCAAACTCACTACTCAGTCATAATTGATCTACTGAGACAAGCTTGCTAATCATTACACCACAATGAGGTGCCCATATGGTGATTTTCTAAGTATAGTTTAGATGTGGTACAAAGATGAAATTATGGGGCACCGAGTGAGGATCAAACTCACTACTTAGTCATAATTGATCTAGCGAGACATGCTTGCTAACCAGTGCTCTCTGCATTGGGTAGATATTTGAAATTAACTTTTTTTATGAAGGGGTTTATTATTGGCTATCTCAAGTTAAATAATTAAAAAATATATAACTTTTGTATATTTACATATATCCCCATGAATAACAATGGATAAAACTTGTTTCAGATGATATCAGCAAAATAGATTATCCATCTATTATTGTGTATTTGTTTCGAAAGAAAATAAGTGTTCAAACATTACGAAAATGCATCTTTAATTTTTTCTAGCATTATGGATGGTAGAACGAGGGGGGTAGATTAGCAAAAGGAGAAAAAATGCTAAGAGCCACACTAGATAGGAAATTGTGGAAGGCCATGACCGCCTTTCTCCTGAAGGGATGCAGCATATAGATGAAGAAGAATTACTAATATTTTTGAGATTGTTAAATAGAAAAAAGCTTCATAAAATTGAGTAGAATGGATATGCTCAGAATGAACGTGATAAGAAATCAACTGATGAAAAATAATAATTAACGACAAAGAAAGATTATTTTTTTTCAGTATTGAAATAGATTCTTAATTCATCTTGTTTTACAAAAGAAAGTAATATGTTGCATGGAATTGAGAAAAAACTTGAATATTATATAGTAGGAAAATAAAATTCCCCAAACCTTCAAAACTCTTATTATACATTGATTGGCTCATTGATCCTTATTATCCTTAAAAACTCTGATAATATCAACAAAAATAATGTATTCAAAGTGGATTCCATTATTTCAAATTACAGTCACAACATGTCCTTCAAAAATCTTTGCCATTCTAAACCATTGAGTTCTTGGACATCTTAGCTCACTCCTTCATGGCAGCCTTGAGAGAACTAATGTTGGAGAGAGAAGTCTTTTTGGTGACTTGCTCTAAAATGCCTCACATGTAGTCAATAGGTACAAGATTGCATCTGCAGAACTACTAAATCTTCTTGTCAGTGTAGCCGAGAGTATTGTTCTGGGTTCACACACAGCTTCTGTCTGGTTAGATGACCTTGTCATGGTAAAACATGACACCTCAGGACCTTGTAGTAACACCCACATTGTTCTTTTTTTTTTTTTTAAAGTTTGGGGACATTTTTTTTTTTTTTGCCTGAGGCCACAGCATCCAAGGCCACAAACTGGGCTGGATGTTTGATCTTGACGGTGCCCCTGACATCAACTGTTGACTTCACAGGGTAGGAGTCATTTTGGCCAGATCTTATCTTATGCTTAAATGTTGTTAATTTTTTTGCAATTTTGATTCAGCTTTTTGTTGCTCTCACTACTGTTCTATGGCCATGTTTCCCAACATAGGGAAAATACTTTGCATGGAGATTTGATTTTTAAGGGAGAGGGGGGCAATTTGAGAATGAGTTATTAACAGTGAATTTTTTTCTAGTGAGTGTGAGAATTATTACATATGGTGCATATACAGCATGCATACATAAAAATATTTATGTGAATGTATGTACTGTATGCAGAAACCCCTTCATTAGTACAGCTAATGTGTACATTGGTAACTATCAAAAAAATCAATTTTCAATTACTATGGTTAAACTGAAGAATGTTTTACCACACTAATCGAATATTATGTATGCACTAATTGAATTTTGGTATATAAAAATTTTAGTGCACTAATTGAAAACACTTTAATCGAATGTGCATTAATTGCGTGATGCCTATATATTTTTAACAACTTCTTAGTAATTTCTTCATCGGTACTTCAACTGTTCTTTTGTTTTTGTTTTTTTTATTTTTCTCTTTCATGGATGCCATGTTCCTTGGAAGCTTGTTTAGACCAAATTAATATGGCCTTTTAGGCTTCCTCTATGTGAATAGGAGTTCACTTTTTAAATAATGAGAATTATATGTCATAGTAGGAAGCATCAGGATTTTAGAGATGTTTAGGTGGAACATGGTCAAAAAAAAGGTTGTGAACTCTGGGTCTATGTTCTTTTTCACATTGTAAACAGTGCGCAATGGCAAAAAACAACTTTTTGCTGTCATCGATGATGGATGTATTGACATGAAGGTTTATAATTGGAATCATTTTAGGCAATTGTCTTTCAAATTTATTCACATTAGTACGGAATTTTATGTGAAATTAAAGGATAGTTTTAATAAATGTTTTTCAAAACTGGCAATATTCAAATCTTAGTATTGAATATGCATTTTTGTGGGCTTAGCCACTGTGTTATCCATTTTCACGAATAACTCCATGGACTTGACAAGCTTTGTTTTGGTTGTCTAAGCTGGCAATCCTGACATCGTGGCTCACTTTCATCTCAACCGCAGTTAGAAGTTTTGAACCCCAACTACTGCGATTTATCAGCACCAACCAGTATTTATACTGAATTTGGAAATTGTTTGAGTGGTAATTATCGTGTTTCTATATTTATATCTGTTTATTGTGTGCAAAAAATAATTCTATCTGGCTGATTTTCTAGATTCAACATAACATTTTTTTCCGATTTCAAAGTATATAATAAGCTTATGATGTCTCGATTTGTTTTTTTTTTTTTTCTTAGTGAATTACGACTAGTTCAATTTCTATATTAACATTTAAAGAAAGAAAAGCTTTAGGTCTTTTCAATAAATTTTAACCCGTTCCCCACCAATTATTTTGTGAAAATGTTTCACTTTCAGATGAATTTTTTTATTTGTTTTTAATATAGTAATTATGAAACTGAGGCATCTTGAATTATCCGAACGGTGGCTAACACCTCTACCAGACATAAAAGTTGACAACTGGACTTGTTGAAGGGCATAAAAAGAATCAAGACTGATGTATAAACATATCTGTAGCTGGTTTTTGAATGTTATGTTTTGCGTTTATTCGACAGTGTCTGAAAAACACACTTTCATTAAAAATATATACACACATCTACATCTCGGATGGGGTTAACTAAGATCGAGAATATGCAATTTATTGAACTACAAGTAAATGAATTTATAAACTTCTCTGTAAATTTTGCTGTTGTGAATCAAAATAAAATTGTGCAATGTTATATCAAATGCATTCAATATATTTTAAATACTTGATACTTTTGTTTGGAATCCTTAAAAAGGTCCTGTCAGAAAGATTTGAAATGTTTTCAAAATTAGATAAAAATTAATTGACAATATTACTTACCAACCTTCCAGTGGTTGAAAGCTAAGCATACAATGACATATTGTCCTGCCTCTAATACTGGGTTTATGTTTATGACGCTTCCAATTTTGCGTTTACACTCAACCAAATCCCCTAAAACACTTCGTCCATATTTATTGTACTTAAACACAATTAATAAGACGTCAACTGGAAGCCATGGTTTGCCTTCTTTAATACAACTCCTGAAATCAAAAAGAATTCAGATAAAAATCAAAACATTAATAAGTTGAAAGTAATTGTGTGTAATAAGAAATGTTAAATCATTTTTAGGGGTATTTTGTCTTAAAACAAAAGAGAATATCGGATAAGAGAATAAGGGAATAAGCGGAAAAAGTACACCTAAATTGTAAGGAACTAAATATGAAATAATGAAATGGGATTAATTAAAAGAAACGAGAAAGTATACACTATGGTAAGGAAAACAGACAAACAAAAAAAAAAACATTGTCATTAATACACTCATTCATTCCTGGCTGGTTTTTATATTCACAATATTTCTGTTACTGAACTCTCAGGCTTTTTTCAAATATTTGATCTTTGCAAGTGAAAAGGGTTGGGCAGGTCATCAAAACACTTATGGTCAATATCAACAGTTGGCAAAACACCAATGGTCAATATCAACAGTTGGCAAAACACCAATAATCAATACCAACAGTTGGCAAAGGAATATGAAATTTTCGATAAGGTTCTAATCCCAATTAATATTTAGTTGTAGACAATTTTATGTAGTTTTTTTCTAGTCTTGCAAAATGAAAGATTCAGTTTAACCAGGAAAAGAATGGCAAAACTGAAGAAAAGCAATATTCTTTTATGCAGAATTCTTGAAAAATTAAGAATGATAGTGTTTTTACCTAAAGTAGAAACAAATTACTTTTTCTGTTCCTAAATTGTAATTATGTTAGATAAATACTTAATGGTTAAAAAAAAATATAACATCCCTTTTAGTTTCAGCAAAGAAAAGATTTATATTTACTCTTTAAAGGCTAAAAGCACTCAAAAGTATCTGTAAGTTTTACATGCTTACAATCTGAGAGTGCCTGAATGTACGTGCAATAAGGTACATCTTTGTAAAGTTGTAAATTTCCAATACCATATCTCATAACCAGTGTAGGGATACAAAAAGCGATTATCTCCCTTTGGTGCAGATAAGTCACATGGGTTATATGACAGCTACTTTGTGACATCACTACATATAGTGACAAGAGTGGCCAGTCATTTAGTTTGTTTACAGCAACCAAACTGAATGGTTGCTTTCTTAGCCTGGGTTAAATCTGCCTCCTCCAGCAGCTTACAAGCACATGGTACCATTTCCCTTTGGAAATATATCTTTCCCAGGTATAGAAAGAAACTTCTGCTCACAGTCCTCAATTTTGGAAAACCGAAGACTCTCTATTTCCATAGATGAATTCAGCCAATTTGAATCAGGAACCCTAAACATGGCTTCTTCAGACACAGGATTATCTCCATATTATATGTAAGACCCTCATTTTTGTTCTCTTTACACTCTCCTTTACTTTGTAGATACATGTGATATATTATTCTCCATGTGAGACACGTGTGTATATATGTATATGTCTTAGTAGTATAAAAGTTTCTCTGAGAACAAAGCATGTTTGTCATTCTTTTTCCTTTCAGGCTCTTTCGTTCGGTATAAGAACTACAGTGTTATTACATCATGGATATAATAATGCCCATAATGGGGCAAATACAAATGGGAGAATAAATATTTCTTCCATAGCTCTCTCCTATTATAACAGCAATACCAAATTTGGTATCATTTGAAAGAGAAATCAATTTACTTTCATGTAAAATTAACTTGTAAGACTTTATTTTCAACAGTTTTGGAGATATATCAATTGCACTAATATATTTAGATTTTCCAGCAATTCATTCCAGTGATTTAACAAATGAAATCTCTTAAGAGCTGATAGGTTTAAACTTATAATCTTTCATCTCGTAAGGTATTAAGAAATAATGAAAGAGTAATCCCTCACCTGTTATTGTCTTGAAATACTGAAATCTCAAATTCTGCTGTTGTCAGGACAGTGAGAATGTGAACTTTAATTGGTACACCAGCATGAGGCAAAAATTCTCCTTGAATTCTCATTTCTTGCCAATCAGAACGCACTTTACAGACTTGCATATTGTAGAAATTTCTGTAATAATTAACAAAGAAAAAAATTTGAATGTAATGGCTAATCAAATGCGAATGTAATCATGTCATGTGATTTAGGTATATGTATGTTTATATGATGATTTCAAACATGAACATGTTTTTATAAAAAGGCAAACAGCCATAGAGATGGATGAGGGAGTAGAAAACAGTATCAAGAAAAGTTAGATTTAATTCAGTTCCTACTGTGTGACTGGTGAAATAAAGATTTTGTTTCTATCCAACCAACAAAGCAAGAACTCACAATCACAGTAATACTATCACTAGACAAAAATCACTGGCATGTTCATCAATCTTAAATTATTATAGCTTATTTCAAAAAATGATTGCATCCTGGGTACGACGATAAACTACATCTAGCAGCAAGGCTTCTGATTGGGAGGTTTTGACGGGCATGGAACCACCTCTTAATTACTGTTGTTCCCAGGTTCAACCTAACCTGGGGTGGTAGCACTTGTTATGGTCCAAACTGTAAAAAAATAGTTAACCCATAAACTGGGGTCAAAACACTATAAAAGTATAAAAATACATTTTTATAGTTAAAATAAGATAAAGATATTAGTTGGGATTATTAATTATTATTTAAGAAATTATTGCTTATAAAATTTAAGATGAAACATTGTTTTTTTCAGCAAAAGCTTATAGGTACTAACTGTGATTTGGTTAAATCAATACATTGCCTTTAGAAATTATAATTTATTTAATAACTATTTTTCTTTATTATTTAAAATCATTCAAGACTTCAAATACCTTGTCTCTTGAATGTGCAATTCATCTAAAGACTTTGAAGTGAAAAGAGCTCTAGCATAATCAGCTTGCAATAAGCTGCCAAAACTATGGAAATCAAAACCTCAGCTGCAACAGGTAGATATGCATCTTTCTAACGAGAGTAAAGTCAATCCTCCTGTATGAAAGTGGAACGTGGACCACAGACAAAACCTTCTGCAAGAGGTTAGATGGATGCTACACTAGAATATTACAAAATGGAACTTAATATATACTGTAATGCCAAACCAACAAACAAGTAACTCTATAGAAAACTAATCCCATTCTCAAAGACGATAGCATTCAGAAAGGTGAAGCTTATTGGACATTGCTTATGCCACCCAGAAGAAATTGCATCAAAACTTATTTAATGACAATCATTTAAAGGACAAAAGCTCAGTGGTCAGTAAGCACTGACATTTCCAAATACACTTATTCAAAATATTGACATCTAAAACCTGGATGAACTCAAAGCAGCTATGATGGAATGGGACAATTTTTGAGATGTTGCAAGTGGAAACTCAGCCAAATTAAATTTCTTTATTAATCTGTTGTGTTAAATCCAACATTCATGATGAATGCTGACAGCTTATTACATTGAAATATAACCTTGTACCACTCTCATTGTTTAAAATTGAGTCAAAATTTCATTTGGATTTGTTGGAAAGAACTTAATTAGAATTTTCATTGTAATGCACACATTGATTAACACATTATATAAATAAGGGATAAACAAGTTTGTGTAAAGTCGTCTTTGCTGTCAGTTTCAAAACAGCAAATTCTCACATGTTATTTTATTGAAACAATGAAATTTTCACAAAATAATTCTACTTGGCCATTATAGCATGAATATGCTAACCTTCGGACATCACTGAAACACATCCAGAATTGTCCATCACCACAGTTACTAAGAAGCTGTTGCTTTGTTTCAGGTTTGATTACTTCCCAAAGCGATGATCCCTTTGACCAATCACCGTTCCAGCTGAACCAACTCCAAGGATTTCGAATTTTCACCAATCTAATAAATAGAAATCAAAACATACAGGAATAATTTTTTCATATTTCATCTATTAGTAGCTAAGTCTTGAGAACTTTTCAATAAATCTAAGAAACTTTTTATCTTTGTAATTCCTAGATTCATTTTACCAAGTTATCCAGTATACTTAAGAATTTTATATCATTCAAAGTATCAATATTTTTTTAAGAAACATTCAACTCACATTTAGACTAAAGAAAATTCAAAAAGACAAAAAAAAAAAAAAGAAGATATTTTTAATTTGAAAATTAGCAAAAATGTCTCAAGTCCAATAACCAGATATATGCTAAAATCACTGATTAAGGACAACTTATATCTACAAGTTTGGAATGCTCTGAGATAAATAATACAATGATATCAAAGTTGGTTGTAAAGGGTTTCCAAGATCATAAAGCAGAATCAATCATAACCATTTTCTCTATAAGCTTCAAAGAAGGACTATATACATTATGGCTTCTGATTGATAGAAATTTAATTCTATCGATATAAAAACTGTTTTTCTCTAAAGCTAACATTTTGAAAGAAGTATGGATTTGGAAACTTGAGAAATGTGTTTATGGCATATATGGTGCAGCCAGATCTTTTGTTATTTGACAGTGAAAAAAAAAAAAAACAAACAAACAAATTGAGATTAATCCTGGCTAAACATGAAGGTTTATTTATATGGCATTCAGATAACTCAAAGCATGGTATTATACTGACACACATACATGACTTGGGCAGGAATAAAGCCTTTTGTAGCAGGCAGATATATGAAAGTCCAAAAATTACAATTCTCAGAAGAATGTCCCACCATGTCATACATACAACAATGCTCTTCCTTGATTTTAAAAACAAGAGTTTATATACCCACAGAATGCCCATAGTTTATCAAATAAAAATTTCCATAAGCTCTTTATGAAAGAGAATGAGAAACAAGGTTTGTGTCATTTTTAATCTGTATAGGAATGACTGCAAAAACATCCCTCTCCCCAAATTTATAAACAAATTGTACAGATGCATGATGGGATTCCTTCCTAGCCAATAACATAGATCATTTCTTGGTCTCATCTGATATATTCTTGTTCTTTCTTGTCTTGAAGTCAGAACACTGCTATCATATGTCTGTATCCTTTTCATGTGTGTTAATACCATTTTTAATTTGTGAACTTTTTGCCTTATTACTGTTGCTTTGCCTACTTTTGTCTCACACACACATACACACACTACAGTTCAAAAGTTTGAAGCCAGCCCAAGAATTAGCATGGAATGAACTTGACAGAAGAGTAAAAAAATATGAAAAAGAGGTCTTAAAGTTTGTGGGGTTACCCCCACTTACTTTACAAAAAAAATGTTGCTATGGGATGCTCCCTAAGCATATAAATAGACAGTAACATTCTCTCTTTCTCCTTTTTCTCTGGGACAATAAGATGTTGTTTGCACATGGTACAAATGTGTTCTCCACTGGGGCACGCACCTTTCACGTCACTTTCAAATACATTTCTCTTGGACTTTCTCCTACACAAACACATTCTCTACTTTAAATGTTTCCTTCTGTTATTGTCTCTGTATACCTTTGTTTTGTTAATACATACATTGTCAATTGTTTTTATATGGTTTTACTCTTACTTTTATCATTTATTACCTGGACTCACATTCAAGTCCGCAATAATTGTTTTGGGAAAATATACCAGGAGACATGAGTTTTCTCACTAAACACAACCAACATTCCCACAATAAGAAAAAAAGAATGGAATCAATTATGAAACTTATAGTTTCATAAGCTTTTGCAATGAATGCCAAAAATTTGTGCTGAAGTAATCAAGGCTAAAGGAGGATATTTTGATTAGAGCAAAATTTAATAATGATTTTGTCATAAAATTTCTAATAAAAAATTATGTCTCACTTTTTTTAACCATGTATAATAATTTTCTCTTATTTAAAGTACAAAACAACTATATTTTTGGTCAATTTAAAAAAAATGACCAAGGGTGTCCTTAAATTTTTGAATTGTAGTGTGTGTGTGTGTGTTTGTGTATATATTGTATTATTTTTGCCCTGTTCTTTTCTTATTGTTTAATGGAAACTTTGTCAATTCTATTTGTTGGACAATACAGACAATTACATTTAACCATGCCCATTTACACTACAGTTCGTTTTTTAATCTTTTGGTAGAGAATACACACAGCATGTGGGCATTTCATTCTGCAAGGGAACAAACTAGTTTCTTTGTCAACTTACTTTTGTAATCCACTTTAGCTTTATTTGTGATTGACAAACAGACTTTTTTATGCAGTTTACTCTTCTCCAAGTCATACTTACCATTTTTGTCACTAACCTTCAATAATCTCTACTTTTGTTTATTAACATAGGAAATTAAGTCAATTTGTTATGAAAATCAAGAAATGGTCTCCATTATTCACCTGTTTCCTTCCACTTCTTGAACATCAAGAACAGAATATGCATGATCCTTTTTTAATCCAACTTGCCAGTAATCTTTAGTGTCACTCACATTGCCTTGATCTCCACAAGCACAAGCAACCAAGAACCTGAAAATATTTCCCAACACTTGGTTATCAAACAAAAATAGAATTAAACTCGTGACAATTTGAAAATAAATAATTGCACAACACACAAAACTCAAAAGATTTTCTGGTTAAGGTTGAGAAATAAAACAGTGGGTCATTATAACATGACATTAATGGAGGTCATTATATCACAGTGTTTCTCAACCAGTGTTCCCCAGAAACCTAGGGTTCTGCAAGAGGTTATTAGGGGTTCTGCAATAACACTGATTAATAGGCTAATACATTTTTCAGTAGTTTTCATTTAATTTTATATTCATAATTTTATGATACTCATACAGTATATTGTTGGAAAATCCTTGGTTATTATAATAAAGGCTTCAACCTCTTATGTTATTTAAAATTATAATAATTATAGGGAATGTATGTAGTGATGTCTATATGACATCGGTGTTAAACCACCTTCACTTGTTAGTACACAGGATGTGTATGTGGCAGATTTATGTATCTTGAGTGACTCACTCAAGAACAGGATACATGCATGCTGTCCCCCTATTGTTTGCCACGTGAACTATGATAAAAAATATAAGTGATAGCTATTAATAATGGTATTTAACAATTTTTATGCAATGGTCCCTTGAAATATTTTAAGGGTTTCACAAGGGTAAAAAGGTTGAGAAACACTGGTCGAGAGGAACATGTATGTATATAAAGAACATGTAATTAAATTAATTTACCATTGTTTACCAGTGATTAGCTGATATACCTAAAGAGATTTTTCCTGTTTCAACTTTGAAGTATATCACCCATCAATATGTAAGCATGTTATATATGTTAAATATCCTCAGTGAAGTAGAGAGCCACAATTTCACCATGCTAGGTATTGCTGTTGTTCTTTCCAAAGTATGTAAGGTTGGAGTTGCTAGGGTTATGCTCAAGAAGTTTGGGATTTATAGTGGTCTTCCTCTTAGACTAGTTATCAGCCAAGGCTAGAGAACTGTCTGCCCTGCTATTAACTCCTAGATGGAAGAAAAGACAGATTCATGCCTTGCCAAGAGTATTTGTGTGAAATATACTAATCCCACTTTTCAAGTTGATGATTGTATACTGTATACACATCCACTCATCACATATCAATTACAAAATAGGTAAGCAAGGCAATTATATGCATTAAAGATCAATGATAATCTATGATTGTCTAGATTTTAGACAAGATGAAATGGAGGTAGGAAAAATAATGAGAAGGTGAACTTAATCAAGGACAAACTTTAGTCAATCTAATATATCAAATTATACATTGGAACTGCCACTACTTAATGGAAACTTGTCAGAGGTCATATGTATGACAATCATAAAAGAGCTGAACTTGTAAGTAGTTGGATCATATTTTAAGAACATCTGTTGAATTAAAAGAAGATATTTGCTTTTAAAGGAATTTATAACAGTCAATCCTTCTTGAATTTATAACAGTTCAATCCTTCTTGAATTTATAACAGTTCAATCCTTCTTGAATTTATAACAGTTCAATCCATCTTGAATTTATAACAGGTGGTTACTTCCTGAATTTATAACAGTTCAAACCTTTCTGAAAACTATTCATCAAAAAGAACTGCTGACATTCTGTTGAAAGGCATTGTATCATTAGGTCATGTTAAAAATAACTTAAAATTTTAACCTATTAATTCAAACTGTCCTGTTTTTAGGACAGTGGACATTATAGGTAGAAATATATAATATCAGATTTTTCTAAGCTTATAATTAATACCTGATTTTTTTATAAACCTATATTGAATTTTTAAAAACCTATAATTAATATTATAAGGGTGAGTCAAAAAGTAATACAATTTTTGTCATAGGAGTTGTATTTCTTAAAGAAATTATTCAAAATTTAGTACAGATATAAAGGCACATACACTCCTGATCTTTAAACATTCACAAAAAACTTCCATCTCTTTAGTCCAATGAAAGAGGCACTGAGGAACAAATGTTATGCTGGTGGTGATGAAGAAATGAAAACCTGCTGTAATAAATTGGCTACAGCAGTAGCCAGCTGAGTTTTATGAAGCTGGGATACATGTCCTCATTTGTAGGTGGAACATGCCATTGAAAGAGGTGGTGATCATATTGAAAAGTAGGGATTTGAACCTGTGATATATAGCTATATCTTGATATATGATATGTTTGATTTGACTAAGTACCCTCTGGTAAGCATCAGATATTCATTGATTGACATTATGTCTATAATAACATTTATATCAACCAAGATGAGAATAATACTTCGAATAATTTTCAATATTTTTGTATTATTTCAATCTCTGAAATGAAATACTAAATTATAATAATAATTATTTTCATTTTTTTTTTCCCAGAGGATAGGTAGGGTGAATAGACACTTTTCACCAGTCACCAGAAATAACAGAATCAGATAGAAAGGTAATAGTACAATGATTAAATGTTACAATTGTATGTATATATATATATATATATATATATATATATATATATGAGATATGATATACATTTTTTTTATATCAAGAACAGTATTAAGGAAATTTTAAGACAAAATGGAAAAAGTTTACTTGTGACAAGTTTCATCTGTTAAGACTTCATCAGACTGCATTTGCTGATGTTGCTGTGACTACACATATGCATGAACAAATAATTTAGAAACTTTTTCACTTGTACCACCATAGAAAGTGCTATCTCTCTCTCTCTCTGTGTATATATATATATATATATATATCTCTCCATCCAAATGAGAGCAAGAACAGATGGAGTAAAGATTCCACTGTTCATAGCATTTACTTTTTAAAAAAGTGCTCAATACAAAGTAGAGTGATATATTATTATTATTTTTATTATAAGAGATTATAATAAAAACATGTTGAAATCAGTACACAAATGCTTTCATGTTTCAATTGTACTTCTTCAGGCGATGCTAAGTAACTGGTGATTAAATGATTTTTAAACAAATTTAAAAAAGGTGCAGGGACATTCTTATATAATAAAACAAATTGCATTACTTTTTGACTCACTCTCCTCATTTTTTTTTTTTAAATTGATATCAGAGTTGATTGTGAGCATTAATGGGATAATGACAAAGTGAAAAGAATCTATTTCCGATTTCTTTATAATTTAAATTTCACCAATTAATCCAATGATCAAAAAATCCATCATAATCTGTTTTATAAAACATGAATCTCCCTCAACTTGGAAATACTTTAGACTCAGATTTGATTGTGGTACTATCATGGGATGTTAGTTTCCTTTTTCTAACTGTGTTGTAATTAATAAAAACATTTTCTTACCCTGATTCCCAGGAACTCAGCAAATAGGCCCAGCTTTCATCTTCACTCTCTAAAAATAGAAAATATCATATAACTTTACTTGCTCCTCTGTTGGTTAGTAAACTAGTAAGCACCTTTTGCTATAATGATAATGGACCATTCTGTTTTGTTTGTGTGCTAAGACAAAAGAAAAAGATATCTTTTTTGGTGAGGAAAAGATTACATACGTAATAATAAGAAGGAAAGAAAAAAAAAAGAAAGATGGAGGAGATTTTAACACTCATGTGTTTAACCTCTACTTCAGTGAAATGGAAAGCCAATTTTGAATCTTTTCATTTCTACCTTCTTAGTTTTTTTAAATACTTACCTGTATTCATATTTAGGACTGTTATTGAAATATTTGGTTAGCCCTTTAGCATACAACATACTCAAACACGCCCTATAAATATTGTCTCTTAAAGTCTTACTGTTTGCATGACTTCCTGCGGGTTATGGCAGGTTGAACATCGAGAGACAATATTTACAGGACAGGTTGAATGCTAAAAGGTTAAAGTTGTTAAGCTCAAATATTTAATGAGGAAGGGAATTTACATGGATATTTTATCACTATGGAATTCACAAGGATCTTATTCTATCATTAAATGATAAAATGATTCATCAGAAAATTCAAATAGCTGAAGTTTTCACAATATTATGAGTAAGATAAATTATATTATAGTATTAAGCTGTATTATGAATATTTTCTAATGTGTAATATGCAAATAATATGATTAGAATATATAGTACTTGCATTTACTGGATTTCATAAAATAATAAAAAAAAGTATAATAAAATATGACACATAAAAATCTATTTGAACTTTTAGAAAAAACTAGATTTATTTGGTAAAGATATTAGAATAATCCAGAACATCTACTTGGAACAAACTACCTGAATACAGATAGAAAATGAATAGAGAAAATACACAAAAATAGAAAGGGGTGTAAGACAAGGATATATTTAACTTTACAGTGTAAGCAATTCTTAATGAACTAAAAGTCCTACCAGGATTTATTACTGGTGGACACAATCTTAACTTTTAGCACTCTGTAGGTAACTATTTTTGCCAAGCAAAATGTTAGTCCTGCCAATGCAAGGTGAATTTGAATTTCTTAGTTATGTAGTCATATCCTTCTATGGCAACACTTAAAACAATCTTGACAGAAACTGAGCACCAGGCTACTGCAATTTCAAATATATAGAACTAATATATAAAACATTATATTTTGGGGGTATTCCATATATAGTAATGTTTATATATGATGCAGAGTGCTAAATGTTAACAACATAAGATATGCAGATGTCACCCTGTTGATAGCAGACATAGAAAGAAAATAGCAAGAAAACCTAGATGAATTAGTAAAGGAAAGTGAGAAGAAAGGACTAATCATCAATAAGACAAAATGTATGGTCATTAGAAAGAGGGATAGTTCAAGATCAAGCTAGTACAGAAGTTTAATTATCTGGTAAGTCTTTTAACACATGACAGAAAATATGACAAATCTGAAAACACATTAGAATAGCAAAAGATGCCTTCCAAAAGAGAAATAGAATATTTAGAAACAGAGAAATTTTGTTAGAAACAATGAAAGAGTGATGAACTGCTATATAATATCAATCCTCTTATATGGTAATGAATACTGGATGGTTTCCCACCAAATGAACAGGAGACTTGTGGCAACAGAGATGTGGTTCTACAGAAGAATGCTGAGAACCCATGGATGGAACATGTGAATAACAAAGAAATTTAAAGAAAATGGAAACAAAATGGACACTTAACATAGAATCACAAAGAGACAGCTGAAATTTCTATAAGACATAAGAGGAAAAGAAAGCTTGGAAAATATGGCATTCACAGGACAAAAGAAGCAGAAACTTGCATAACGAGCTCGTGTAAATGAATGGTAGAATGGAGACTGGAAGGGATCTTTTTCTTCTATGTGCCAGGTCCCTTCAGGACCTTGGCAATCATGGTTCTCCAAAATCTCCTGTCCTTTGTAAATTTTGTCTTTTTGCTATCTCACCCCAAACTCTGCACTGCCATCCATTCACTCAAATGACTTTCCTGTCTCTCTTAGCTTCAATCTGTCCTGTGAGTATCAAATTTTTCAAACTCTCTTTCCTCATTATGTGACCTAGAAATTTCAACTGTCTCTTCCTGGTGTTAAGTTATAAGGGTCCTTTTTGCTGCAATTATCTCTAGAACTTCATTGTTGCTCACATGTTCAGTTCATGGTATTCTCAGCATTCTTCTGTAGAACCACATTTCTGTCTGGATTGGATAGTAAGGGGAGGAGATAAACCTTGCTTAAAGCTGCAAAAGAGAAGTTGTGGAGAGCGATGATCACCCATATCCGAAGGGACACAGCACATAAAAGAAGTAGTAGTATTCATGCTGCTACTTAAACATTGCATAGACAGTACTACTAGTGTCAAGATTACTAGCATCTTAATAGTATATAAATAAAGACAAACAGACAAAAGAAGCAAAATATGTACCTGATTCAAGATCCAAATTAACACATGGAGCACCAGTGAGTGAGTAGAGACCTTCAAGGCAGGTACCTCCTGCCAGGGCTTCATAGCACCCATACATCTTTGCCATTGCTTTTTCAATCAATGGCACCCACAACTGATGTCTTTTAGCCTATAAAGATAAATGAAGTTATATAATTCCATTATATCAAGAATTATCTGAAAACCAGCCCTAGAGACAGAATTTTAAGTTCTTCATATGGAAGACCTAAATAATTATAAATAAATGTAACATCAAGGTCACCTCTCAGCTTGTCACTGACTGGACAACGTCTGTGTTCCCACACTGCATCTCTATTATCAATTGTACTGATGTACACCAAAAACTGAAAATGGCCCAGTGTAAGCTCACAAGGAAATGAAAAGTTTTAAAAATAAACACCAAGGTGAGAAATGAAGACTTGAACCTTATTTTGGTGTTTATTGGTGGCTTCATTTGCATGGTGTGGGTGGATGACACTTAGGACATCTCCCAGACTAATAGATCAGCTTTTCTCAACTCTTCCACCCATCTCAACAATACATGTGGCTGGCAACTGTAGCAAGCAGTATCAGAATTACCCCAAGGGATAATCTGTTTTTCTGTTAACTGATGGTCTAGAACTGAACTACATGCCAACAGTGACTGTTAATAAAGACTTGCAACCGGAAATCCTTAATGTCCAGTTTGTTATCACCTGACCCCAATTATTTATTTATTCTCTTTCAGCCAAAGAGACTGCTTCAAGACCATGTCTCAGACTTTATCACTGGTCAGAAAACATGAAACACATGAGATCGAGTAAAATCACACATCATTCCCTTCTATGTGGGTGTCCCATTTATAGGGTTGCAATAATATTAAAATATTCTAAAAATGACATGAATAAATAAGTAACAATACAAAACAAATAATAAGTGCAGTACTAGATTGGCAGCATGGTCTCATCATTTTACAGTTTAAATGACTAAATATTTATATAAGCTCTTTGATAACATTTTCTTCTCTCACATGTCTCGCTTGTGGAACCAGCTTCTAGCTTCCAGTCAACTTTGATCTTCAAAAATTTAAATGCAATGTCAATCATTATTTCCTGTCTTCTTAATTCCTGTTCTTTTATTGTTCTCTCTCCTTAATAGTATTTTTTTCTCATATTCTCTGACACTCAGCAGCCCCTTGTGTCTTAGTGGCTTTGTTTGTGATGAAATGATTAAAAAAAGAAAAATTTCTAATAATAACATTAAATAGATAATAATTATAATAAATATTATATTCTAAAATGATGCAAATAATGAATAATAAATACATATAAATATTATAATACTGTAAAAATAAATAAGTAATAATAGTAGACATAATATTAAAATGTTCTAAAAATGACATGAATAAATAAACAATAATGAAAAATAAATATGATACAATTATAAAAATTGACATGAATAAATACTGGTACATCAACAAAATAAACCACATTTCTTGTTAACCAAATATTAATTACATACAAGACAAGATTCTTGACAAAATCCAAAGAAAGATCTGCAATGTAATCAATCCTGAGCTGGCATCTTGACTTCAGTCACTTTCCCACCACAATGATGTAGTTTCCTTCTGTCTCTTTTACAAATATTTTCATGGCAACTGCTCTAACAAGCTTTTTTGCCCAGATGCTTCAAACAGAATTCAATTTAAGTGTGCTGCTAGATTTGCATCTTGTTTCCAACATTTTACTGTTGAAATGGCTAAATGCAACTACCACTTCTACTCCAACAGTTTCTTTTCTCAAACTCCCCACCTGTGGCACTCCCTTTTGTCTATTTGCTTCCCTGATAACTACAATCTTCAAAAATTTAAATGCAACATCATTCCCCATCTTCTGTCTTCTTGAATCCTGTTCATCTTTTGTCCTTTTGTCAATCCTCACTATTTTCAGTCTTCTCTTTCACTTTCACTCCCTGTAACCCCTTGCATACTAGTGGCATTCCCACCTTGCTTCGGGTGAAATGATTAAAAAAAAAAAAAGGAAAGAAAAGAAGAATATTGTTGAAGTTATCATAAAATTATCAAGGCACTTGACAATGATAATCTCTAAATGACAACTACAGCTTGCTCTTCCTGGACTGATTAGTAAAAACATTTGAATTTTCATGTTTGTTCAATAACAGACTTAAAAATATTTGTACTTAATTTTTAAACAAGTTTTAAAAAATAATTTTACTGAATATTCAAAAATTTCCAAAATTCAATAAAATCTTATAATTTTCTGTTTTTTTTTAGTTTAAAAATTAAAATTTTTTTGCTTCCAAATTTATGATTTTATTGCTCATCCCAGGATAGGAGCTTATCAAGAGAGGAATGTATTATTCTAGGTGAGAGAAGAATGTAGTATTCTAGGTCTTATTTTAAACACAGTCAAATTGTGTATGTGTATGCTTGTATGTACATTAAATGGCTCAAGCACATGTAAGTCACTCATGCACAACACATACATGTGCATATACATATGTACATGCAAAGTCACACACAGGCATAGCCCGACAGACAGAGAATCAGCTCTCCTTTTTTAATATAAATATGATATGCTTTGGAATCAATAATTTTAAAGGGATTATTAAAGTAGGTTTTCTATAATAAAACTTGAAAATAAATAACAACATACCCTAGAGAAGAACATCCTACCATTCTCATCACATGGCAGTAAATCATCAATAATTACAGTTTTCCATTGACCATTCATATAAAGACGAACATGGAAAACTCCATAAGGATTGTACTGGTTTGGAATCAAGTTTTCCACAAGTTCCTTTCGTTCAGCTATCACAGCCAGAGCACACAATAACCTAATGAGAAAAAAAATATTATTTATTAGAGAAATTACAATCTGGGATAATGTCAAAAAATTAGGAGATCCTCTAAAATAAGTAAATGAAAATACATTAGAATTTATTAATTTCAAGCAATGAATTTATAGATAAAAATGACAATTTTTTAAGGTTTGAATTCTGAATATTTTTTATAATATAGTTTTCTTATACACATTTTTTAAAACTTATTTCTTATCAGACTGAAACTTTATACTATAAAGAATGTAAGGTTATGAAATGTAGGATGAAAAATGTATTTTATTTAAGGATAAAAACTTTTCTAATGATAAACTCATGAAAGAGCAAAACAAATGAAGTAAAACATAAAAACAAGAAAATTGTTATAGCATAAAAAATATATTTAATCTGATGGAAAGAAAAATGACTATGGTAATTTTTTCATTTTAATCAACACTGTGCCTTTAACTGTTAATTAAACAAGATGATTTCTTCAAATATGGATGGATGAAAGTAACAAAATTCATGGGGTACTGATTACCTTATGTAAATATTAATTAATATGGAGTTAGAATTTATGTCATAAATACCATTAACTTGTGTCTATGTGTGCATATATATATATATATATATATATATATATATATATATATATATACACACACACACATATCAAGAAGGGAAAAACACATCAAAGAATTCAGTAATCCATTACCACTTACAGATTTGACATTACTGAATTCTTCGATGATGTGTTAACTTTTTTCTTTTTTGATGTATATTATATTGCTCTGTATACTATACATTGAGCACTCTTCTTGGATCTATTTTATTAATATTTTATATTAAAAAAGACCTACTTGAATTATCCTTACCACTTACAGATTTGATATTATATATATATATATATATATATATATATATATATATATATATATATATATATATTATTAGGATTAATAAATAATTGGGGAAAAACAAGGATATTTAAGAGGGTGCTGAAAAGTTCTCAACCTGATTTACTTAAAAATCTCACCAAATCCCCAAATACCACTTTTTTTTCTCTGAAACTTCATGATCAGGCTTAGAACCTTTCAGCACTCTGACATATATCATATATTGCACATTTCACAGCTTCTCAAAAGTAATGGTTATGTGACTCCAATCTCTAAAACTATTAGAATGCTTTCCTTGAAAATCTGCACAAGAAATCTCACAAAAAAAAAAAAAAAAAAAAAAAAAAAAATCTGTTATTATGATTTTATTAGGTGTGTGCAAAAGTTTCCAGAGACTGAATGCTCAAATGAAAACTCATTTCTTGGGTGGGGGTAACTTTTGCACTGCATACCTAATAATTACTAAGTAGATTATTTCAGTTTATCCTTTTAGATCATCATCATCATCATCATCATCGTTACTACTACTACTACATTATCTTAATGAGATCAAATATGATGGATATTGTGTAAAAGAGTAGCTTTATGATTATTCATTTTTAACTAATATTCCTTTACATCTTAATTTCTGTTGCTTTTTATCACAACTCACTGATTATCATTCTATGATTGTTAACAAACAGATTGGAATAGAAATAAAGAATAAACTTCTGACAAGATTTGAACTCACATCCTGCAAACACCTCAAGATAAGAGAGGTGATGAGTTCAAGCATCATTGGAGATTTATTCTTTATCTCCAATACATACAACATCATAGAATGATGACCAGGCTAGTTGCAATAAAAAACAACTAAAATTAAAAGGAAACAAAACACTAGCCAAAAATGAACACATGATCAGTTACTTATTTTTATCACTTTTACAGAGTCTTTTCAATGACACTAACCAGTTGATGACATTAAGCAAAGAATATAAAGATTTAAACTGTTTACATTAATTGTTCTAAATGATTTTGCATTATAAAAAAATTATACAAAATTTATGAAGTCTTAATTTATTTTAAATAATATGTTTGGGATTAACTGACTTTTATCACAATAACTGTTTCATAAGATTATTTGATTATAAGAAATGGCATCCTCTGTAAGAACTGACATTGCTCATCTAAAATATTTGAATAATGTAGCTTCATAGTTTACCACTGGTTTCTGATACTGACCTGATAGTTGAGAAATACTCTTCTTTGATTGAAGGTAGAAAAGTCAGAGAAAAGTAATACTGATGAATTTATAACAGTTGTCAGGTCTGTGTATTAGGAATGACAGCCATATTGGTAGATCAGCTGAGTAGAAATGAATGCAGTGGTTGTTAAAGCTGTTTTGCACCTTTAAAGAGTAAATATATTTCCAAAACATTTTTAAATGTCATGTCCCTTCATGATGGAGGTGATTATGGGTCTCTACCGATTCCTTTTTTGTTATTATCTATGAAATGCCATGTCTTTTGGGGAAAGATAGTGAAATGGTTTCTCATTGCTTTCTTCATGGTTTTAAATTCAGAGTAGTCTTTCTAGATTGGTTGCCATCCAAGGCTAGAGAACCCAGTCCACTCTATTTAACCCATAGCTGGGAGTAAGAAAGAGATGAATTATGCCTTCCCCAAGAGCATATGTATTAAAGTGAATAGCTGATTCCACTTTTCATCACGTTACCCACATATCCATTCCCAAACATTACTTATGTAGAAAGAAAAGAATCACATTACTGAGGCTTGCATGTAGGTAAAAATCTATTTATCATCGTATATCTTCATTAGAACCAATTTTTAATTATTTGTTAACCAAAGTGTTAGAACATAATACTGCAGTAAATATGGATGTTCATTATTTATATAAATCTCTTCAAGATTAAATCCTCAAGAGAGTTTGCACAATCTGTGAACAAAAGGGTTAAAGTCTTTACATAACATTGGTGAAAATGGGAAGATAGCCTTTCCCTTACCAACAAAGCAACCCACTTATAAAGCCATCAAGGCAGAAAAATATGAATGATTTTCATTATAAATGTTATGAAAAATATAGAAGCCATGCATAGCCAACCTAAGCAGAGCCAACCCAAGCAGATTAATATTTACACTATTTACATTGAGACTATTGTTCTCATCTTTGTTGTTATTACACTGTTTCAGCCATTGTACTCACTGGCCTTCATCAGGTGTATAATGTACAGGAAATTCTGAATTGAACTCTTTATTTAATAAAGTCCCATAGGACAATAGTTAAGTGGATTAAAGTATTTGGTTGTGAATTTAGTGATTGTGTGTTCATTACCTTGGACAGGTAGTGTGTACTTGGACTCAGTGAAAATGGCTGAATAATAACTGAGCAGTACTTAAAATATGAAATAGATGAGATATCTAAACATGGGCAGTGGAACAAGAACAGTCAACTCCCATAGATTAAATAATGGGTACAGTTCAGAATTCCTGGATTGATATACACCTGATGAAGGCAGGCGGGCACAGCAGCCGAAACATTGTGATAACAACAACAGAGATGAGACCAACAGTCCAAATGTAAATAGTGTAAATAATAGTAACGCCTCATCCTAGTAATTCAAACAGAAATTGCAGATGAAATAACTATACTACTGCAGAACAAACCCATTTTCTAATACCTTTGTTTATTTCTCAGATCAAAATTCAAATTTCCGTTTTTCATTTCTTCAATAGCAGATGACTAGATTTCTCATTTTGGCTGTACACTCATCCTACAGTTAAGGTAACAAGATTTTAATCAGCAACTTTCAAAACTTTATGGAACAATAAAAGGAATGTATTTCATTTACAACTGATGAGATACTTTCTATCTGAACCTATTAAAGTACAGTGATTAACATAAAAAGTACATTAGAATCCAGTTTTTTTTTTGTCCTTAAGTCTATTATAAAAACTAAAAGTCCAAATTCTTTAAGATATAGTAACCATTTAATTCTAACATTAACAACAAATATCAATAGGAATTCAATGAAGAAAATTCCTAATGCTTAATTTCAGCCAGATTACTTCTCAGGTTTTCAATTCACATTTTGAAAGGAATATCAAATATTAAATTTACCCTCAATTTTTATAAACACAAAAATATATAAACTCTTTTGAGAACTAAAATGGATAGATGTGAATAGAAATATAACATTAAGATTCGTTATTGTTAAGTGTCAAATAGAAGCAGTGAGGACTTTATTTTATTCCAACAAATTTTTCAACCCATGTCCAAGCTTATTAACATCATTCTGTTTATTAATTTCACACATTTTGAACCTTTAAATGATTTTCTATCCATCCTTTTAAGACCTCTAGTTTATTGCATATTAAGGAAAATTCAGTCCCCCATTACAAAGAAACCCCACTTTTATTAGACACCCAAGAGTAAACATACAATGCAGCACAAAATTTATATACTGCAATATAGAGTTAATCAGTTGATATTAATATTTCTTAAGACAAAAATTATGAGAGTTAAAAAGCCATCAGTGAGAATGAAGAATATGTAAAATTTGAATATATCATTATACAAATAATGAGAGATTTACGTAGCAAAAATATAATTACTACATAAATAATAGTGAGAAATTTGATAATTCTTAGGAACTGTTTCTGATTGCAACTTATTGTACATTTTTCTATATGGAAGATCAAACATTTCTAAATTGATTTCTGATCAGTTCTTTTAATGAGGAATGGAAGTATTAATAACAACAAAATTATTTCGGCTCAAATTGAATACTAAAATAAAATTAAAACACAAAACATAAATTTAAAAAGGAATTTTGATCATTTGATCTTGGCTGTAACATTTTAAGGTAATATTTTTGTGTTAATTTTAAATATAGATTTTTTTTTTTTAACAAACCTTGTTTGGTAAATTAAAAATTATTTTTTTGAACCATTTCACCCCAAGCAAGGCAATAAAGCCACTAAGATGCAAGGGGCTATTGACTTATTTTTAGTGAAACATGATGGAAGATATATATAATTAATACTTTTCCTTGTAATTCCTGATTAGGACAAAGTTTTAATTTTATGACCTCTAATCATTTTATCTAAGTGATAAGGTTGATTTGTTTTTTTACCTTTCGCAGGTTATTTAAAACCAGAAAATATTTTTAGATCATAAGAATTTTTTGTAATGATTTTTACTGAGACATGTTCTACCAATTAACTCATAGCTGGGGAAACAAGGGGGTAGATTCATACCTTCCCCCAAGGATATTTGTGCATAAGTGAATATAATGAACTCAACTGGAATTGGAACTCAGCTCTCTGATTTCCAGTTCTGAGCCGTTATCCATTACATCACCCACACATCCAAGCTTACAGCACCTAGTATTACCTAGTAGTACCTAGTGGTCAACCATCTAGGTACTGACCAGTAAATGCATGGGAACTAGTATTTCAACATGATATAACAGTAAGCCTCATTTTATCTAAAAGAGAAATGTATAGTCAACATTTAGTCATTTATGATTTAATGAAACAACAATTATTTTTTTATACTACCTGTGTGTACCCCTTTGTGTGTGGATGTGTTGACATATATAAAATGCAATATTTTTATATTTCTAAATTTTAGATAAATATATTTACTTCATTAAGAATATATTAACAGAGACAATTTACCAACAATCTCCAACATTTCCTTGAACAATATCATCAGGTGTTGGATTTTTATACACTGTCCAAGAACGTCGTGAAATTTCATGAGGTCGAAACCATTTGACTATGCTGTTAATATATGGACGTTGAAGACTCCAGGAAATGGACTGGGGTCGGGGCAGGAAAGAATCATCTACAAAATAAGTGTTGTGCTGTAAGAAGGAAGTAAAATAGAAAAAAATTACAATACATTCAACGAGACATTTTGGTTTTTGTTTAAAATGAAACGGAGACTGAATCCAAGGAAGTTCATTATTTTTTTTTTTTTATATAATTCTTTTTGGACATTCACACAGCATAAAATTCATATAAGATTTTTTGCAACAATCTTTCATTCAAGTGTACATACAGATTGGGCACATGGCTGAGTGGTTAGAACATTAACATTCAAACCATGAGACCTAAGTTTAAATCTCACCAGTGTCATTTTGTTAAGGAGTTGACTTCTTGGTAATATCAACCTAATGAGACGACTCAAGCATGGAGCATAATTGTGAAGTGCATGAATACGATGACATAGGTTGCCCAAACCTTGTGAGAGAAACTGGGTAAAAGAAACTGTTTGGAATCCAGCAATAGTTGCACAAGGACAAAGTCATAGGTCATCATAACTGAATGTTTGAGTATACTATTGTTCAGCTACTGATCATGTCAGATTTTACCTTCTCTCCTAGATGATGTAACTAAGGTCTGCTCAGTATAGTTGCAGTATAAACCAGAGCTTGTCTCTGTTGGTGTTGAAAAAACACAAATGTGCCGGAGTAGGTTTCTGAAAGAAGGATTAGCTAGCCACTTATAGCAGACATGTGTACTTGCAAATGAGCATCTATTATTATTATTATTATTAGTAGTAGTAGTAGCAATACTACATAATTAATCATGAGGGATCAGTTACAATAGATACATTGACTGCACATTGCAGTCTGGTATAAACAGTTGGCATTTGAATGCATAGAAGTAAACAATAAACATATATTATTTTATATACAAGCTGAAGTTTCTTTTTGTGAATATTATGTCAACAATATATATAAACCATATACATGCATACATGAATATATTTATATGCTCAAAGATAAATACTGTCATATACATAGATACCTAATATATTATATACAATATTCGATCTATATTATTGATATTAGATCTATACATACAGTGGCTTGCAAATTGAAGTTTGAAAATTTATATATTTTGTATAATTTAACAGGGAAAAACACATTTTTTCAATTCCAATGATTGCTAAATAATAAGCACATCCATCATACTTTCCTTTGATATAAAAATTACATTTTAAAAATTTCACACTGATTCTTAAAATCATATAACTTAGAAAAATGTCTTTGCAAAAGTCTACACGCCCCCAGATATTATACTGTGTTATCACATAGTTTATCATTGATATATATAATTGAGAACAATCCAAAGTGACATGTGCATTCTACCATAACAAACAAACTTGGCCAGTCTATTATTTTGCTATATAAGGTGATTTAACTGCCTACAAAATCATCCACCACATGGTTTCTTGGTATGTTGGTCTTTGGTGTCCAACTCAGGAAAGAAAATGGGCAAGTGTATGTCTCAGGAACTTAAAAACCTTATTAATCAAAAGTACAATGAAAATAAGGGCTATAAAAAGATTGAAAAAACTTTAGAATTACCCCTAAGCACTGTTAAAACTGTAGTTAAGAAGTGGTTAGTGCACAAAACCACTGCTACCCTACCAAGATCTGTGAAACCGAGCAAACTTACCAGAAGAGCAAAATCAAAACTGGTCTGTGAAGCAACCTACAACTCTAGTGCAACACTGGAAGGCTTGAAAGCTTCAGTTTCCAGGATTGGGACAGATGTCCATGCATCTACAATTTCCAGAGTATTGCACCAGTCTGGCCTGCAAGGGAGGGTAGCTAGAAAAAAGCCCCTTCTGAAGCCTATGCACAAGGAAGCTAGGCTAAACTTTGCCAAAAGTCACATCAATGATTCCATGACCATGTGGTGAAAGATTTTGTGGTCAGATGAGACCAAAGTTGAGTTATCTGAAAAAAATATGAAACGCTACATTTGTCAGAAAAAAGGCACTGCGCACCAACTTCATTACACCATCCCCACTGTAAAGCATGGCAGTGGCTCGATCATGCTTTGAGGCTGTTTTTCAGCTGCAGGGTCTGGAGAGCTGGTAAACATCCAAGGTTTCATGGACTGTGTCAAGTACCAAGAAATATTGGAGGCAAACCTGCTAGAGCTCTGTGCTTGGGTCGCAATTTCAAGTTTCAACAACCCCAAGCATGTGTCAAAAAGCACTAAAGCTTGGTTTGCAAGCAAGAAAATCACAGTTTTGGAGTGGCCTAGCCAGTCTCCAGACCTCAATCCTATAGAAAATCTATGATGAGATCTAAAGCTGGCTGTGTACCAGCGTTCCCCATCCAATCTGACACAGCTCAAGAAGTTCTGCTATGAAGAATGGCAAAAACTGTCAGTAGACCACTGAAGCAAGGTCATGGAAGGCTATCTGAGGTGTCTGCAGGCTGTAATTGACACAGCAGGATCATCCACAAAGTATTAGCTGAAGACATTCCAAAGGGGGTGTAGACTTTTTCAAAGACATTTTTCAAAATTATCTTTGTTTAAGAATCAGTTTTAAATTTTTCAAATGTATTTTTTGTATTAAATAAAAGTGTGATAGATTTGATTATTAAAACAAATTCTTGGAGTTTGAAATATTAATTGTTCCTAACAAAATAAACAAAATACATCCAGTTTTCAAGGGGGTGTAGACTTTTGCAGTGCACTGTAGATACAAGCTTAGCCTAATATATTAGTCCTCAACCTCTTCTGGTCTGGTCAGAATGGCATTTTCTACCTTTGGAATAACTAACTCAAAAGGTGCATTGTACAGTTATAGTTTGTAGAAATAGCAATGTTCAAACAGTTTGAATCTATCAGTCTATGGTCTCAGTTACTCATGTCCCTAGAAACAGAAAATTCCTCCCCAGGGGAGAATCCCTCTAGTCGTTGAGACTTATAACCTAATCAGAATAAAGAAGAAAAAAATGAAGGTAAAAAGGAGTAAAAAAAAAAAAGAGAAAAAAAAAAAAAAAAAAAAAAAAAGAGAAAAAAAAAGAGAGAAAAAAGAAAGTAAAAAGAAGAAAAAAAGAAAGTAAAAAAGAGAGAAAAAAAAGAAAGTAAAAAAGAGAGAAAAAAAAGAAAGTAAAAAAGAGAGAAAAAAGAAAGTAAAAAAGAGAGAAAAAAAAAGAAAGTAAAAAAGAGAGAAAAAAAAAGAAAGTAAAAAGAGAGGAAAAAAAAGAAAGTAAAAAGAGAGAAAAAATATGAAAGTAAAGAGAGAAAAAAGAAAGTAAAAAGAGAAAAAAAAGAAAGTAAAAAAGAGAAAAAAAAAGTAAGTAAAAAAGAGAAAAAAAAAGTAAGTAAAAAAGAGAAAAAAAAAGTAAGTAAAAAAGAGAAAAAAAAAGTAAGTAAAAAAGAGAAAAAAAAAAAAAAAAAAAAAAAAAAAAAAAAAAAAAAAAGAAAGTAAAAAAGAGAAAAAAAAAGAAAGGAAATAGAGAAAAAAAGTGAAAAGGAGAAAGAAAAATAAAGAGAAAAATCTTACCACTCGGCAAAATTGGCATATATTTTCCCAGATTTTCATAATTTCAGCTTGTTGGGATTTGAATATAGTTTCAGTTGGCAGACTTCGTAGTTCGTCTGCATCTTCTGATGATGAACAAATTGATGAGATTGATGACAGTTCATCCACTCCTGCAGATGCCCTGCATGGTGTCCTGCACATTTCACATTTATACAATGAAGGAGAATTAGCATGCATGCACTGTGAACAGTGCCATTTTTTCTCAGCTGCAGATGCTTTTAACGATGACTGTTCAGCATGGCACAGCTTGCATTTAGTCCCCTCAGAATTTTTATAAGTGCACACGGAACATATCCAGCCACCATTGGGCATTTTGAGGGCAAGCTCAGGCATTGCAGTTTCACATGCTTGACATTTGTCTGCACCAATCATGTTTACTAATGTACAAGTAGAACAAGTCCAGGTTGTGCCCTCTGCTGGAACAACACGAGGGTTCGTGGCACCACACATTTTGCAAACTGTTAGAAAATGTTCATTGAATTTATATGTGCAGGCTGGACAATTCCATATGTTTTCTTGTACTTCAGCTGATGGTAGAGCAGCTAAAAGAGAAAAGATGAAATGACAGAAACACAAGAATAAGTAAAAAAAATTAGACTTGATCATTTAAAAGATGATTTACATATTTACTCAGTAAAAATGAAGACTGAGAGCTCAGGTATACTGGCTTTGTTCAACTACTGATCACACTAGATTTTGCAATCTCTTCTAGAAACTGTAACTAAGATCAACTCAGCATAGTTGTGGTATAAACCACAAGTTAGTTGTGGGGGTATTGAAGAAAGGAAAATGTGCTTAAGCACAATTCTGAGTATTGTAGCATTGTAGCTAGACACCAGGTTCTTGGGGGTCGTTCTTAGGATGCAGCTTTTTCCGGTCAAGCACTTGTGGATTAAAAATAACACTTTGGCAAGATTGTCACCCACAAATTAAAACCATGTGACTTTTATAGCAGTAATTATCTTTTATTCTGGTTATAACTTACTGCTATAGACAAGCAAGGCAGACAATGTGTAGGTGAGGGGCAAGTGAACAGTCTAATGGTTGTCTTCCCTTTTGCCTCGCTGTGAGGCAATCTTCTTGTCACTCTCCATGGGTCCTCTCCGTCTCTCTGTTTTCCACTGGTAGTGACCACTGTCTTATAAAGAACATTGTTCTTTGTCTTGTCATCTTTCTTTAAAAAAGTAATTTATCTTCCTTCAGTGACCTTCTTTGCCAGGGCCACTTGCCATGTACTCGTGAAGTTCCCTTTATTTAGCTGATAATCATCAGGAAAATAAATGTCTGAAACCATTTTTGTGACTGGTCAGATGTTTTCCATTTAACAAGATATCTTCTAGAATGTCTAGTTAATCCCTGTTATAGACAGGGATTAATGAGCCCCTCTAGTAGACAGACATTCTAAGATATAAGTGGCCAGCCATCTTCTTCTATGTGCCATGTACTTTCAGGACATGGACAATGATGGCTCTCCACAATTTCCTCTCCCTTGTAGCTCTTAGTAAAGTTTGTCTTTTTGCAATCTCTCCTAATCCCTGTTCTGCAAACCATTTACACAAGCTCAGTAGGTAGATTATGCACTGTACCTCTCTGTCCCTCTAGACTTCAATATGTCCTGTGAGTGTCAATTTTTCTAAGCCCTCATTACATACCCTAGAAATTTTAACTATCTCTTTTTACTTCTAAGTGTAAGTGTCCTTTTTGTTTCCATAAAACTTTGTCATTACCACATTTTTTTGTCCAAAGGTGTCCAGCTAAGAAATTGTTTTCTATTCTTTGTTTATTACTAATTAATTAAGTCACAGAAGAATAGATTGTAACTTGGATCTAAATTGTGTAATTGTATTTGGTGACCTGATTAAATTAGAAAAAAATTGCTTACAAGCAGCAAGATCTTCTCTCGGAGTACCACAAGTGTCACACACTTTAATCCAGGGAGGGTTAAATGAAAAAGTACATTTTAAACATTTCCATTCACCAGTTTCAGGATTTGTGGCTTTCCGAGTTTCGCACATGACACATCGAATATTCAATGGAGAATTCTGGAATGTACATCGTGTGCATGTCCAGGTTTTTTCCATGACAGCTCCCTGCAATAAAGAAAATGACAGCTTGGAACATAAATAAAAGACTGATATTTATAAACAGTTGATTAAACAGCTGGTACACATCGCAGGAATTTAGGTTTTGAACTTTAAACTTAAACTGAAAGTAAGTACAAACATCAATTAGAACAAATAGAAAATGAGAGAGAGATAGAGAGGTCTAGACAATAACTAGATTGAGAAATAGGAAAATAGTTATATACTTACACAAACAGGTATGTATTTATATAGATGAATGTTCTGATTAATTTTCCTCTTTGATACTTAAACCTTATGAATTTAAGTACAGTACTAGATTGGTGGCAAGGTCTAATTATTTTACACTTGAAATGGCCGCTAGATGTAACTGTAAGTTCTATGTTAACAGTTTCTTCTATCACACTTCTCACTTGTGGAACTCTTTTCTGGCTTCTTGCTTTCCAGTCAAGTTTGATCTTCAAAAATTTAAATGCAATGTCAAATTTTATCTTCTCTTCTTAATTCCCATTCTTTTATTGTTCTCACACCTTAATAGTGTGTTTTTTCTCATATTCCCTCATAGTCAGTAACCCCTTGCAGCTTAGTGGCTTTATTGCTTTGCCTGGGGCAACATGATTAAAAAAAACAATTTGTTAACTGGAATGCTCAATCTATAGTAGTTTATGAAAAAAAATTCAGATAACTAATTTCTAAATTTTAAAAATAGGTTGGTTGTTTTTTTGTTTAGCAGAATATCAACTTCTACAGGTTATTTAATGCCAAAATCTAAATATTTTGTAAGCAATTTTTATTAAGATAATAATGGTTTTAGTGATACATGCTTTACTAATTAACCAATATCTGAGTGGAGAAGAAATGGATTCATACATTTTAAGTGTTTTTTTTTCATTTGAATTTAATTTAATTTTTAAGTGTTAGTTTTATTGTTTTCTATTATATATATATATATATATATATATATATATATTTGCTACCCAAATACACAATTCACATATATAAAAATTGTGCGTATTTGGGAAGCGATTTTTGGTTCATAAAAAAGTTTGATTAAGGACCAATGAAAGTTCTTTGTTAAGGATTTTTTAAAATTTATTTTCTCTACATTTTTGGTCAATTTTTGGGTTTCAGTTACATATTTAAATATAAATTGTCCAATGTCATGAGTACATTCAGCTGCTACCATCAACTATTATCAGATACATGTTTTTCTTGCTATGTTATTAGTTTCTTTATTTTAAATATCTTATATGCGCTTCCACATGTCCATATGGTAGTTTGTGCCTATTGCTTCTTTTGATGAAATATATTTAGCATGTTTATTCCTAAATTTGAAAAAATTTATTGATGATAGGTTATTTTTTTTATACTTAATGCTTCTAGTAGATGTAGTTGCTTTTTACTGTTTATGTGATAAAGCATCTTTGTGTTATTGTCAAATTTCTTGTGTTTTTCTGCTGTGTGATTTAAGTAAACAGATAAATAGCACTTTAAATGATATGATACTATGTTTGTTGTGAAGCCATCATATATGTCATTTGGATTATTATTTTTAGAAATATTCCTCAAGTTGGCAAGCAAATTAACAGACAATGTTGGTTTTCACTTTTTTGTTGTTGGTCATGAGAATTTTAGTTGTTCTGTAATAACTGTTGAGTATAATTTACTTATATTTGTCATTAGGTAATACATATTTGGTTAATTATGATTTTTTCATCTAATTAGTGATTACTGCAGAGTTGATTCTTGTTTTTGTTTTTCTTTTGTTTAGTGGCATATCAACTACTTATGGTTCATTTAATGTCAAAATTTAATTTTCTTATGAACATTAGTAATTTCTTTTGCAAAAATGTATTGCAGGTAATCTTTTTTTTTTTTTTTTTTTTTTTTACAAAAATGTATTGATGGTAATTTTACTATAAAAATTTATTTTTATACTTTCATGGTGTTTTGACATCAAATTGGGGGTTAACTATTGCCAATAGCCAGACCCTACCACCCTGGGTCAAGGCAGACCTGGAAACAACAACAATTAAAAGGTGGTTCCATGCTCATCAAAACCTCCCAATCAGAAGCATTGTTGCCAGACGTAGTTTATCATCATACCCAGGATGATGATTCTTGTAGAATTTTTCAATAGTCTTTAATATTATTTAATAGATAATGGCTAATGATAACAGAAAGTACTTAGAAATTGGACAATTTATATTTAAATATGTACCTGTCACCCTACCTTCAAAATTGATCTGAAATGTAGAGCAGTTTTGTTGGTCTTCAATGAAAACACATACATATATATATATATATATATATATATATATATATATATATATATATATATATATATATATATACATACACAATACAGTTCAAAAGTCTGAAAACACCCCTGGTAATATAGAGAAAATTATTATACATGGTTAAAAAAGTGACATGATTTTTAATTAGAGATTTTATAATGAAAAAAAGAAAAGCATTTTATGATTAAATTTTGCTCTTGTCAAAATATCCGCCTTTTGCCTTGATCCCTGCAGCACTTTTTGGAATTTGTGCAAAAGTTTCTCAAACTATAAGTTTGATAATTGATAGCATTCTTTTTTCAATGACTCTAAGAATTCTTTTTCGTTGTTTTTTTACACCTTTCTGTCAAGTCCATCCCATGCTAATTCTGGGAGTGGCTTCAAACTTTGAACTGTAGTGTATATATACAGAGTCTGCCAAAAAAATCTATGCACACTTCAAGAAATAAAAAGTTTGTATGGATACAATACTAACATATCACAAAACTGTAGAGTTGTAAAACGTGCTGGAAATTGTGAATCCAAAGTCACAGCTCCATTGTCATTCTCAAATTTGAAATACCACTTTAATATATTCTTTACATCCCTCAAATGACAAACGTATGTCTGTTTCATACTACAATAAACAGTGTTAAGGGAATTTGATAAAACTACCAGAGACAAGTTTTTCCTTTCCTGAAGTGTGTATACATTTTTTTGTCAGACTATATATATATATATATATATATATATATATATATATATGTGTGTATGTATATAAATAAAGATACAGATATGAGCATATACACAGAAGGGGATACTGAAACATTATCAGTCCAACCAAGAAGCCCTTCCCAGCAAAAAAAAAATTAAATCTGATATTTGGTCATTTAGTCAAATTTTGGGACATGGGTTTGGCCAAGAATTTTTCTGTACTTCCTTATATATATATATATATATATATATATATATATAGTGGGTGTGAAATAGTTATCAGCTTGAAGAAGAAGGGATTCCCCAAAATCCTGATGTTTGGTCATTTGGTCACATTGTGAGTGGGGGAGGGGATGTGGTTGGGTTGGGTTTTCATGAGTGTATGTGTGTCTGTGCACGTATGAAAATTAAAAATGAATAAAGAAAAATAAAAAAAATAAAATAAAACAAAATTAATCCAAACCAATAAATAAGTAAATAAATTAAATAAATAATAAACAAATTACCAAACCACGAATGCACAGATAGAATATAATAATAATAACCAACAATAAAATAATCAATAATAAATAAAAAGGTTAAAGGAAAAAGTTAACCAAATTAAATAAGCTAAAAAACAAAAATTTCATTGCTAATCATGCATTACATTTTAAATAATATACATATTTATGTCTTTCTTGTTTCCGTTCCTTATATTATGTCCGCTACTGTATATATACACACACTCACAAACACCAGGTGTAACAGCAAAACTGTTCAAATCATGTAAAAGCATATTCATCATTAATTAATCATTGCTAATGATTCGAGGCTCATGAAAGATTGAAATAAAGTTCAAATATATATATATATATATATATATATATATATATATATTATTCCAGGATCATTGTCTAACTTGTTCAAGATGATCTCCACTCTCTGTAACTTTCTGTCCTTGAGTAACAAGATGCCTCATACATTTCACATACAATTGTATTTTCAAGTCTTTTTTCATTTCTCTTTGGACTGTCATAGCTGAAACACCTCTCACTAGTGTCAAACATCTTATGGATTGAGTTGGATCTTTTCTAATTGATCTCTTTAGCTCTAAGTTGAAATGATGATCCCTCTTCATGTTGTAACCTCCTGATCCAGTTTTCCTCTCTACTGTTTCCTCTTTTTTAAACTTATTCACCATTCTCTTGATGGTTCTTGAATGGACCTTGAAGAGGGAAGCCAGAGTATGAAAGTATGAATGTTGGTATCATTACTGAAGGCGTGAATGATCTTTTTCCTCTCAACATTGCTCATTTGGAAAGTCAGTGGGGCTGAAACAAAATGATTTTAGCCTGTTCTCTTTCTAGCTAAATAACTCAATGGCTTTTTCAGTGATTCTTATGACAAAGGTGTAAAAATGGCTAAATGACTTATCTGTAAACCTGGAAAAAAGAAATGCAATTAGTGTTTTTTTTAGACATTAAACATTTTGTGGGATGGACAATTATGATGTTACATGATTTGGACAATTTTACTGTTACACCCGATATTTATATAGATGAATATTCTGATGAACTTTTCTCTTTGGTACCCAGACTTTATGAATTTAAGTATGGTACTAGGTTGGTGGCAACATCTCATTTTACAGTTGCAATGGCTAGATGTAACCGTAAGTTCTATGCTAAAAGTTTCTTCTCTCACACTTCTTGCTTGTGGAGCTCTCTTCCGGTTCTTGCTTTCCAGTCAACTTTGATCTTCAAAAGTTTAAATGCAATATCAATCATTATCTTCTGTCTTCTAAATTTCTATTCTTTTGTACTCTCTCTTTAATAATTTTTTTCTTTTTCCTATATTCTTTCATACTTAGTAACCCTTGTGTCTTAGTTGCTTTGTTGCCTTGCTTCAAAGGTTGAATAGTTTTAAAAAAAAAGAAAATATGCAACTGAGTATTATGACAGACTC